TTTCTATATACGTAAATATTTTAAAACTAAATATGGATAAAGACAATGATTTAATTCTGGTATTCTGTTTGCGATATGAAGAATTACTAGTCATAATGTAGAAAAATGTTAATTATAACCCTGAATGAAATGAAGACAACATTTTAAAAAATGAAATTATTATTATGTAACAATCAAAATCCATGCATAGAAAAATAGTGGAGATAATGGAAACATTAGCAACCACTTTCTTTAATTAATATGCATATTGTAGTTTTCCTTCTTTTCTACAACCTCTTGTCTTGCAAATCCCTATACATGCAAATCATGCACTTTAAGTACAATCATCATAGGAAAATGCCTTTCTCCTGCTACTAGAGAACCTGAGTTTCCCATGCATTGTTTAAACTATCTGCCTGTCTTCCAGCCTCCTCACTAAGCTGTGGTCTTTTAGGTACTGGGAATTTGTCTTAGTCATTGATGAGTCCTCACCGCCTAGTGTGTAAGTCAGCAGATGCTGACAACTGCTTTTCACACAGAACAGGAAGGCACGGACACTGTCCTTGCAGTTCCTGCTGTTGATGTCCCTGGGATTGACCTGGCAGACTCTCCCCTTGTAAGACTATTGTGTAGAAGACTCTTCTGGATTCATCTTCCAAAGGAGTGATATTCCTGAAGACTTGTCCTTAAGATCATGATTAATTGAGATAGGGAACGTAAAACATGTGGAGTTATGAGTTTTCCCAACAAAAGCATATTGGATACAAACTCTCCTCCTTTAAATGTTCCTCTCCCATGGCGCTGTTTCTCATGCTCTGTGAGGGAACCGCCTTCCTCCAAGGAGTGCTGTGATCCAAATGTAAATGACACTGTTCAATGTACAAAGGAGAAGCATTCTATACAAGCCCACAGGTGGCAGTGCTGTAAACAAATCCCTTGTCTGCTGGTGACTGGAATGAGAGAGATCAGTGAAGTTCCAACTGCTGGCTTCAAAGCAGCCGGGGCGGGAGTAAGGCCCAAGTGGACCTGGAATTAGAGGCTATCTGTGCTGAGAAATAGTACGTTGGAGGTTTCAAGTCCAACCTACCCATTTCACAGACATGGAGACTGAGGCTCAGAGAAAGGAGATCCGCCAGGGAGTGTGGTAGGGCATGGCAGAGGCTTCCATTACTTGTAATGCTCTGGCCATCCACTTAGAATATGGATTCAACCTCATCTAAGTATCCCAGAGACTCCAGAGCTCTGGGAGGTAAACTACGTTGCTCAAGATCCCTGAGCCGGTCAGTAACAAAGCTGGTCTGGAACCCCTACCCTCCTGAGCTCACCATTAACCTCCTGCTCTGGGTTGTTCGGACCATCACATTTCAGAGGAAGCTCGGGGTAAAAATCAGAAGCATTTACTCCAAACATGCATTTGTGGATGCAGAGAAGCCCTGTGTGCGTTCAGGCATTATTCAAAGGGAGTGAGTGCTCTGTGCTCCTGAAGAAGTGTCCTGTTCCGTGATAGGAATGCAAGAGGCCAACTGTCCCAGGCGGCTCTGCGTGGGGTGGGCGCCAATGGAGATGTTAATGGACTCTTGAGAGCCCAAGGGCAGAGACACTGTGGCGAGTCAATCAAACTAGAAAGTAAATTTCCCACATTAATCTCTGCTTCAGGCCCAACTATTACAAAACTGTTAGATAAGTGCATCTCAGCCACACTAACAACCCGCCCGTGCCCAGTGTGGAGCGCCCCCAGCACAGACACGACTGTGGAAATTACCCAGCAGGCAGACTCTGACCCGGAGCACGTATGGTCTAGGAGCACAGACTGTCACCACCCAGGGGCCCTTCCTCCCTTCCTCACAGGCCTAGAAACCTTAGCTGAGTGCTGTGATCCTCCAGCCTCCAAAAGCTACCTGTCCTCTGTCCCCATTCTCAGGGCCTCGCTCTCAGACTTCTGAGGTCACATATAAAAAGAAAGGAAAAAAAAAAAGATCAGTTACCGTAAGAGCTGATTCCAACGCATGGCAGCCCCACCTGGGTCAGAGCAGAACACGCTCTGCGGATGGCTGGTATTTAGAAGCGGCTTTGCCAGGCCTTTTACTCCAGGCACCAAAACCCAGAGCCAAGCCATGGAATGCAGTCTGATTCATAGGGACCCTCCACTGGGTTCCAAGAATGTAAGTCTTTATGCGAAGAGACGGTGCATCTGTCCCCCTTGGAGTGATTGCTGGATTTGAACTGCTAATTTTTTGCTTAGCAGCAGAGCTTCCTAAGAATAGCTCTAGGGCCCTAGTTCATAGGGATTGTACTGACAACTCAAAGGCAGCTTGACTCCACCAGCAAGCGGCTTCTTGGGAAGGAAATGGACAGTATCCTCCTCTATGATTTACGGCTTCATAAACGGCTGGAGGGTCAACTATGAGTGTGCTCCACTTTAATAGCCATGAGGTGGACTCAAACTTGTAATCTTTAGGTTAGGAGCCACCCACATTAACTATTTGCACCACCTAGGACAAGGTAAAGGTTAAAAAAAAAAAACTCAAGTGTGTCAGTGCCCTCATCTATTAAAAAGTCTTTACTTAAAATCTTAAAAGATGGGTTAATTTTCAAATGGTGGCTTGTGTTTGAGAGTGAAGGGATGAGATAGTGATGTCAAAATTATACATCAATCAGTACTTTATGGAAAATTTCAAGAAAATGTTGAAGAAATGATTGCCAGGGGCTTAAGTTTAAGCCATATAACCTCCTCAGCAGACAGAGCTGTTACATTAAATATGCAGAAAAATGGAAGCTTAATGCATTTATAAAGAGATTTAAAAGATTGCGTCTCAGCAGCAACTATGCCTTCAAGGGCTTTTTGTCCTTTGGAGGCTCTAGACTTGACACTCATGAACCTGACATTTAGACAGAGAGCAGGGTGGTCTGGGACTGTCCCCGCCCACCCCTCCAGCCTGCAACTCACCGTGAGCTCCTTGCTTTTAGCAAAAGGCCACCAGCCCCGCACCCGCTTCTGTTGGAATATGGAGATCTTGCTTTCCTCACCCGCGTTTTCAAACTTGCTGAGTTCGCAGTCTTTGGCAGACTTGGCTGCCCGAGGGAAACTGTTGAGGTTCATCTCCAGGGTGCCTGGAAGAGAAGCAGTGACAGCTATGGAGGAACTGGGGGGTGGAATCACCTTCCCCATTCACTCACCCATCATCCAATCAGCACCATGTGCAGCCATGAGTACACATGTGCTTGAGACACATTGGGGCCCTTCAAAGTACTCTCTTACCACCTATCTTCATATTTAACATTTCACATGTTGTTGTTATGTGCCATCGAGTCACTTGTGACTCATTGCAACCCTATGTACAACAGCCCAAACCCTGCTCTGTCCTGTGCCAATCGCACTGCCTTCTGACACACCTACCCTGATTACCCCAGTCACTACTAAACCAATCCACCTCATAAAGGATCTTACTCTCCTACACTGTTCCTCCATCCTCTCAAGCATGATGTCCCTCTCCAAGGACTGGTCCCGTCTTGCAACATGTCCAAAGTATGTCAAACAAAGCCTCAGAATCCTTGCCTCCAATGAGCAGTCTGGTTTCACCTTCTCTAGGACAAAGCTGTTTGTTCCCCTAGCAGTCCATGGTATAGTCAATACTCTTCTCCAGCACCACAGCTCAAAGTCATCAATTCTCCTTCTATCATCCTTAGTCATTGTCCAACTCTCTGATGCATAACAATGGTAAAAAAAATCTATTGTCCAACTATTTTGTGCATTAACAAAGTACAAGCAGCATTAAGGAATGCCGAGGCCTGGAGCAAGAGTAATGCGGGGTGTGATGGTTCAGGTTATATGTCAGCTAGGCTGGGCCATAATTCTTGGTGGTTTGATGGTTATCTTATGAGGTCATTTCATAATTATATAATGATGTAACTTCAAAATTATGTAATGGTATAGTTATCCTCAATTTTGTGATTGAATGTGGTTATCCTCCATTTCACACAGTGCTTACTTTTATACAACAACCTGGTCATTAGATCTAACCATGTGATAAGTGAAGAGTGTGTTGTTGTCTGCCATTAAGTTGACAATGACAGTGACTCTGAACAGCTGATCTGAACCTTGCCCCACCCTCACCATCCTCAGCATCTCTGATAAACTTGAGCTCATTGATACAGTCACTGTGTCAGTCTACCTCCCTGAGGGTCGTCTTCTGTTTCTCTCACCTTTCCAAACATGATGACCTTTCTTAAGGATTGAGTCTTCCTAACTTCACCCTAACCCAAGTTTGCGATAAAGCTTTGCCGTCCTTGCCTCCAAGGAGCACCCTAATTGCACTTCCTCCGATATAGACTAGTTTGTTCTTTCAGCAGTCCGTGAGATAGTCAGCACTCTTCTCCAACACTACAACTCAGAGGCATCAACTCTCCTTCTGTTGTTCTTCTTCATTGTTCAACTTTCAACTGCATAATAAGCAACTGAAAAGACCGTGACTTGAATTATGTGCACCTTAGTCTTTAAGGTAACATCATTGCTCCCTAGAAATTTGGGGAGGTCCTTGACAGAGGATTTTCCCAATGCAACATATCTTATGATCTCTTGACTACTCGTAGTAAGGAGGTTGTTTGCAGATCCAAGCAGGATGAAATTGTTGGCAACTTCAATTTTTTTCTCCATCTATCTATTGTGATATTGCCTATTGGCCTAGTGGTAAGAATGTCTGTCTTCTTGATGTTGAGATGTAATCCATGTTGAAAGCTGGAGTCCTTGACCCTCCACAGCAAAAGCTTTAGGTCCTCTTCAGTTTCCACAAACAAGGTTGTGTCATGAAGTCCAGAAGGCAGAAAACATTAGGAAAATATCTTCTAACTGAACAAGAAGGCATGCAGCTTCAACTCAGGAACGCCAGAAAAGTGTTGAAGTGGCCTCCCTTTCCCCTTCATCTCAATGACCCTGTTCAGCATGAAGCAGCCAGAGAGTCTGTACCCCATTCCCAAATGAGAAACCCACAAATGAAAAAGACAATTTATCTCTCTCTGTGTGTGTGTGTGTGTGTGTGTGTGTGTGTGTGTGTGTGTGTATCACCACTGGACCATGCTCATCATTCATCATTACCCTGTCTTTTCAGGTCCCTGCTGGATCTTTCTCATTTCCTTCACCCACTTTCTCCACCCACCAAATTGTGCAGCCCTGTGATTTCATTCCTGCTCCATCTCACTCTTCTGTTCCCAACCTTTACTCTATTGGATACATGTTTTTATAATTAAAAAAAAAAGAAATGGTTTTTTATTTAGTCAACAGAGGTAGAGTAAGATGTACACCAGGAGAGAGTTACATAACTCTCTTTAGGAATTCTTCCTACCATAAAAATGGAATTCATTAATTGCAGAAAATGTAAATAAGTTTAAAAAAAGGGAGGGGGAGATTCTGCATAATCTTTTATCTACAAAATTGACCACTCTAGTATGCATCAGTGTAGATGATCTTTCTTTTACCTGTTTCTGGTGGCCTGATATAAGGAGCTGCACTGCCAACCTAAAGGGACAAGAATAGCATCCACTAGATGTTCTGAGGGAGAAAGAAAGGCAATCTCCTCCTGTGCTATTTACTGCCTCTGAAAAGGCAACAGCCAAGTCAGTTCCAACTTGACAATATATCACTACAATCCTATTGATGCACCGTTACTTATTTAGCCAACCCCCTGATAAAGATCATTTAGGTCGTTTCCAATTTTTTGCTTTCATGAATAACACAGACATCATTATCCCTGTAACTACATTAGAACACCAATGTGTGACCAATGCCTTAAAATCCTGTGCCATCAGGCTATTCGTGGTTGCTGATGGAGCCACTGGCTTACCCAGGAAGTCATCTGAGGACAGCCTCTCAAAATCCCAGACCTGGAGCACCAGCACGGCCGGAGTCTTACACTCCATCTTCTCCAGGGAAAAGATGTTTTCCCTCTTGGTGATGACCATTTGCTTCTCTGCCGGGAGATACTGGAATGGGAACAGGAAGCGCCAGTTGAAGTTCCCCTCTCCAGTCAGCGAGTTGTAATGCACATCTGTCTCCTGCTTGTCATCTTCCAAGCCCTTTATCCACCTGAAAAGATAAGAGAAAATTAAATCCTCAGACTACATTACTCAGGCATCATCAGCATTACCAAGATTGATTTAAGCAGTTTCAATATTGTCACAGCTTATGGTTTGAAAATGATTATGTCCTTAGGTTCAGATGGAAGTTTCACTTGAATGTGTAAAAGGAATATAAGAAATCAAAAAGTGTGGTCCAGATGTGAGATTCTCATTCCAGCCCAGGTTGGAGAAGTCTCAATGATCGTTCTTGAGTAGATCTGAAGTTCCCTTCTTGCAGTAAAGAAAAAAATATTCTGGAAATATAAGAAACATATATCCTAGTGCCTCTAAGAACACAATTGCTTTGTGTCCATCTCTCTCTGCAGTGAAAGTGGGATCTGAGGAGCTGTCACCCAAGCCCAGAGCTCTCATTATAAAGGATCCTATAAAGGAAGCAAGACCACCATGGCATTGAGAGTGACTGAAGGTCTGTAAAATTTGGCCAATTTAGACTCAATGCTGAACAGACGCCAGATTGGAGTGGGAAGAGAAGAGACAGAGAGTGCAAAAAAAGGCCTGAGTGAATAGCAAGCTCTCAACACACTTAGTACCTAGAGCTCTTAAAGTCCAGGCCCAAACTCTCAGCAGTCCTACCAGAGGGTAACTCCTGGCTAAATGTCTCTACGGGACAAACAAATCTTTCTGGGATTAGTGAAGAGGTAGCAATTTTAGAGGCTATTCATTCTGCTTTTTAACAGTCTATTTATGCTACTTATATCACTTCTCCTTTATTTGTATTTAACTCACTCTGCTGTTTTTAGCCCAAGAAATGAGAATTTGAGCCACTGGACATGCTTTGACTGCCAAACATGCTGGTGATGTTGATTCTGAAGAAAGAATGCTTTTAGTTTGCAGACACTCAAGTTTTCCACTTCTGAGATGAGTTTTAATTCAGGGTACAAGTTTAAATAACTTTTGATTTTTATTTTCTGCCCCTTCCCCTCTCTCTCACCTAGAAGGGGTTAAAAGAGAGTCTATAAATGTGTTGTGTGCCTGAGCCTCAGAGGAAGGGAGTGAAACACAACACTTAATTCCTGGCTTAGATTGGTGTCATTTTAGCCAGTAGAACTAAATTTTAGCTTTTCCTTTAGCATTATAAAACTTAATTACATTGTAAAGGTTGAATAGTTTTATTAGCAATACTATCTCTTAACTCCTTTTTGTTTTTAAATGTTGGATGCCTTTTGAATGATATTACAAAGTTTAGATAGCCAATGGTTAATTAGAAGAAACAGTAAAACTTGCTACAGAGGAAAAAAAATCATGACATAATAATTTTCAGAAAACTGACCAGTAAGATAAATATTTTAAATAAGAAAGTGACTTTATCTAATAAAATGAAAAAGATGGTCTCCTAGGGGGTAAAGTAGCTTGTGTGAAGAATCGATTTGGCCAGAGAGTCAAGAGGTGAGGTGGGAAAGGACAGGGGGATGAAGTTGTTGGGTTTACCCTTTAACATAAATATCACTTGATTTTTGTCCCGTGAAGATATTCTCATCTTCTAGAATGACATCCTCAGTGTTCCAGATGGTCACCCTCAATTCATACCTGGGGTAAAGAGAGGCAGTATTAGACTGAAGTCCTTGAACGTCAAATGAACTGGTATTTACACAGGACTGTCATTGGCATAGGTACTGACGTAAAACCAAACCAAATTCAAACCCCGTGCATTGTTTCAGTTGTGGCTCATGGTCACCCTCCATCAGGTGTCTGAAGGTGCAAATCTTTACAGGAGGAGACTGCCCGCGTTTCTCCCAGGGAGTAGCTGATGGTTGGATTTAAACTACTGAGCCACGGGAGAGCAGCATAACACACTAAGCACTCTGACACAATGTCTCCTTCTTCATATGGTGTTGTTGTTGTTGTTATGTGCCGTCGAGTCACCTGCGACTCATAGCGACCCCATGTACAACAGCCCTAAACTCCACTCTGTCCTGTGCCAATCGCACTGTCTCTGACACTCCCATCCCAATTATCTCAGTCACTGAATCAATCCACCTCATAGAGGGTCTTCCTATCCTGTGCCGTCCCTCCACCCTCCCAAGCATGATGTCCCTCTCCAAAGACCGGTCTCTTCTCACAACATGTCCAAAGTATGTTAGATGGAACCTCAGAATCCTTGCCTCCAAGGAGCCACCCGGTTTAACCCTTTCCAGGACAAATCTGTTTGTTTTCCTAGCAGTCCATGGTATTCTCAATACTCTTCTCCAGCACCACAGCTCAAAGGCATCAATTCTCCTTCTATCCTCCTTGGTCATTGTCCAACTCTCTGATGCATAAAAGATGATTGCGAAGACCATGGCCTGTATCAGACACACCTTAGTCTCCAGAGAGACACCATTGCTCTTCAGCACTTTGGAGAGGTCCCTAACAGCAGACTTTCCCATGGCAATGCACCTTTTAATTTCCTGGCTGCTGGTGCCAAGACTGTTCACTATGGAGCCAAGCAAACTAAAGCTGTGTACAATCTCAATCTCTTCACCATCCATCCTGATGCTGCCAATTGGTCCAGTGGTGAGAATCTTTGTCTTCTTGACATTGAGCCTCAATCCATATTGTAGGCTGCAGTCCTTGACACTCTGCAGCAGGCGCTTCAGGTCCTCTTCAGTTTCAGCAAGCAGGGTTGTGTCATCCGCATAACGCAGATTGTTGATCAATCGACCACCAATCCTGACCCCACATTTCTCCTCATAGAGCCCAGCCTCCCGGATAATCTGTTCTGCATATAGGTTGAAAAGGTATGGAGATAGGATGCATCCCTGGCGTACGCCCTTCCCAATTTTGAACCATGCAGTGTTCCCTTGCTCTGTTCTGACGACTGCCTCCTGGTCCAAGTATAAGTTTCGCATTAGAATGATCAAGTGTTCTGGGATTCCCATTCTTCTCAGAGTCAGCCACAGTTTGTTATGATCTACACAGTCAAATGCCTTTGCATAGTCAATGAAAGACAGATAGACATTCCTCTGGTATTCCCTGCTTTCAGCCAAGATCCATCTAGCATCAGCTACAATATCTCTAGTACCACGACCCCTTCTAAACCCAGCCTGGACTTCTGGTAGTTCTCTGTTGATGTGCTGTTCCAGTCGTTTTTGGATAATCTTCAGTAAAATCTTGCTTGCATGTGAAATCAGTGAGATTGTTCTGTAGTTTACACATTCTGTTGGGTCACCTTTCTTTGGGATAGGAACAAATATCAATCTCTTCCAGTCAGTTGGCCAAGTGGTTGTTCTCCAGATTTCTTGGCACAAGTTAAGGCGACCGGCTAGCTGAAAGCTGGGCAGCTTAGAGGCCATTCTCAGACCCTCTCATCTTCCCAGGTAATCGAAGATGCAAAAATCGCACGACATTCGTTCCAGCAGGCCGCTCAGAGAAGGGGTTAAGGTGACTGGCTAGCTGAAAGCTGGGCAGCTTAGAGGCCAGACCATCATCTTCATATGGTACTTCCTTAAATTGTTCAATGTCAACTAGTTCTTTTTGAAATAGTGATTCTGTGCATGTCTTCCATATTCCCTTGATGCTTCCTGACAGGGTATCTCTCAGTATTGCAAGTGGAGGCTTGAATTTGTTTTTCAGTTCTTTCAACTTAAGACATTGCCTTAACTTCCTCAAATGTGCCAACTTTAGAAATATCAGCACTCTGGGTCTTTTCTCCATCAGAACCAAACATTTCAGCTGGAGACTTCAGAATCATCAGGGACACCAATTACTCTGAACAAGTCTTTTTCCATTAACTAGACATTTTTCAGATGATTTCACTAGAAGCTCAGAACTCTTTGAACTGAAGAACTGAAGAACCACTTCGGTAACTACCACCAGCAGCACTATCACCATCCACTCCCTACCAGGCAGGTAGAATTACAGTGTTCTTATCAAGGCCTTAACAATTACTGTGACAGATCACAAACCAGATCAAAGGCTGTGGTCTTTAGTGCACCACCATGGTCTCTTCCTCTAATGTAAGGGTTTGACTGACTTACCCTTTGGGTTTCCTTGGTGAAATGTCAACAGGAGGTCCAAGCTGAGGCATGTCCTTGGGAAACATGTCCACCCACATCTGCAGGCGTCCCTTGTTAAGAAAAGAAAAACGCCATTCAGCTTTGGCAGAAGGTGATTGAGGGACCAAGGGCATTGACAATTCAGCATTTATAATCCATCTTTCCTTTAAGTAGGTCTTAGGCAGAGCTTGGTAGATTTAGAAATATGTAGTCTATGAACAGAGATAGGTCTTAACATTTTATTAGGAATCAATCAAAGCGTAAATGTAGAGTAGGAGGAAGTGGGGGAGGGGCCCTTTAGAAGGCACCTACTGTGATAGATACAATACTACACACTCAACACACATGATCTCATTAGCTCCTGCAGTCTGTCACCGAGTAGATGTTGTTATTCCTACATGGCAGAGGAATTCCCCAGGAGGACTCTTGTCCATGATTATGCAAACCAACATTTAGCAGAATCTGGCTTTAATCCTTGTCTGTTGAGCCTGCTCTTCCTAAAAATTCCCAAAGATTACATACAATGCTGTTGCAAAACAATGATATTGCATGCTATTGCTTCCAACATTGCTTAACATCCACTATCTCCTTTAAGAGTAACCAGATCCATGTTTCTGGTTTTCATATAAAGATCATGAGGCCCAGGTTAGCCAATGAAGGTGTTTGAAGGTCTGTGATTAATGATAAGAGAGCTTCCCACGTATTGCTTTGAATTCCAAACATCAGAACTTACTCTGCTCAAATTATTGAGCTCCTGTGAAGAGAAACGAATCTATGCTTTTCTGTGCAGTGGACTGACTAGCCTTCCCAACAAGGAAGTGAGTGAGCCACATGGGTTAGGAGGTCAGGGAAGCTTTTACATGAAGGAGGCAGTGCTTCCTTCACAATATGAAGAATCTGGGTGACGGAAAAGGCTGTGCTTATAGAGGGAGGCTTTCCACAGGAAGACACAATGCGGGCAAGGGTTTATCATTTTCATAGAGAGCAACCAACTCAGTGGAGGATTCTAGTTCCAGGGAGAAGTGGAATGAAGAGTTTTCTAATGATAAAATAACTCTCATCCTCATTTTAAAAGTCACATCTTCCAGCAAAATGAAAGATCTCAGTAACCAAAAGATTTCACATATCTGACAGTGACCTTCAGGGTGCTAGCAAACATGTCTACACCTGATGACAATTCACCCAATCATGGTGCTCCCACACACATCTGTCTGCACCCCACACTAAGATGCCCTCGGGGTTCAAGCAGTTAAGCTGCACCCAGCAGTTGTGAGGAACAGACATGGGGATCTGTGTCCGTACAGACTGCAGCTCAGGAAACCTGGTGGGGTGGCTCCACCCTGTCGCGAACAGGAACTGCCTTGAGGGCACCCAACACCGCACCCAGGAATGCTGTGATCACACACCTGGCCTGCCTGCCTCTTCCTCACAGAGCCTGTGGGCTTGGCTTACACTACACAGTGAGTCCAGAGCTGGGACTTTGCTTGCGTTTGTGGCCAGGGTAAGAGATAGGAACCACAATTGCTTGGTTTCCATCCAATCTTACCACTTATCAGCTGTGTCAAGTCACTTCCATGTTCTGAATCTCGATTCTTTCATCTTAAAAATGGTTATCATAATAATTTCACACTAAGACTGTCGTTGTTGTTATTGTTAAGTGTCATCTATTACTAACCCCATAAACAAAAGACTTAAACTTTATTCTATAACTATCGTCCTGTCTGTGTAGATTGTTTTCTTTATTAAGCCTCATGTTTAGAGTCAATTAGACCTCCAGGAGGACACTTGGATTTAAGGCCAAGGTCTTGTCTCCATTTTGGAAACTGGGTCGAGCGACTGGACTCTGTGCGATGGGCTCTCTTGTTTTGGTGGAGGGTCACTGTGGAATGTTTCGGCATTTTGGGGTTTTGTTTTTTGGTTTTTTGTTTTAATGTGTCAAATATAATGGTTACCCATGGCGGACAGTGTTTGGTGGAGCTCCTCGATTAAAATAAGCTTGGAAGCAGGAGTGGCATCCACTTCTGAAATAGCTTGCCTCTGGAAACCCCATGAACTAGGAGAAAAGATGGAAGTTATACAAGTGTTCAGGTCTTTTGTTCATAGGGTCGCTATGAGTCACCTATGACTCGACAGCACTTAACAACAAGACTGTATTAAAGAATATGGATAAAATGACCTATACACATATTTATTTGCCTAGGAAAATACTGGGATGTGATCCTTGTGCCAGTGTAATTATTAGGAGTGCTTTCTTTCATTCTCTAAATGGTCCCAGTTTAGATAAATAATTATATGGTCATCCTTAGTAAGAGAGATCATTTATGCCAAGGATCTGGGACACAAAAAGTCCTTAATCAAGTTTATCTTCTCTTTGCTTCCGACACCTAATCTAGCTCTCTTGTCATTTTTCCCACACACAGCTTTTTCTTTGCAGCTCTTCAAGGTAAGTCACCTTCGATTGCTTCTCTACAGATGCTACAGGCTGTGCGGTTATTGATCGTTTCTAGACAAGGCCTTGGCCACGTCATACGGGGTTTCAACTTTCTCAAAGTTAAGGTTACTCCACTTTGATAAATTCTAAAATGGGTGCGCTGTGTTCAACACTCACTCCCACACGGATTTTCTCACTAGGCATCATTGACAAGCCTGGCTGGATTGTTCTTTGTTAGGGGGTGGGGGGCTGGCCTGTGAACTGTAGGGTTTTTAGCATCGCTTGACCTTTTTTTCCACTCAATGCCAGGAGCACACCATCCCAACTGTGACAGCCAAAACCGTCTCTAGAATTTGCCAAAGGTCCTGTGGGGGGAGACTCACTCCTGGTTGAGAGGTATTACTCTGGTATTAGTCTACCAGATTAACTGTTAGGAGAAAAGTCACATTCCCTGGACTTCAACACATCTCCATGGGCCAGACTACTCTGCTCACTACCTGCTCCATTCCCGGCTTGTCCTTGTGGTACAGTGGCCGAGTTTCGATGTGCTCAGGAACCAGTCTACACCCGACCTCTGGAATATCCTCCCATGAGTGTAGAACTCTCAGGGCCAGGTGCTCATAGGACTCCACGGCCTCTTCTGCACAGAGAGGAGAGAAAGGAAGACTTATTAGGTGAGCGTCTTGTCAGTTGAGGGTCCTGTCAGGTGTAGATCCTGTCAGGTAAAGGTCCTGTCAGGTGAGAGTCTTGTTTGGTGAGGGTCCTGTCGGGTAAAGGTCCTATCAGGTAAAGGTCCTGTCAGGTGTGAGTCCTGTCAGGTGTGGGTCCTGCAGGTAGACAGTCCTGGGCGCTCAACACATTGCACCAACTCCTTTAAAGGTTGAATTAGATACACTGAAGGGTCAGGGGAGGGATGAAGTAGCCACAGAGAGAGAGGACAAGGATGGACAGAGGTGGAGCAGGGAGGGGAGAAGAGGCAAGGAATAGCAAGTGCAAAGAGAGGAAAGTGAGGGGGACAACTAGTGGACCCCTAAATCAGATTCCCCAGAGTCTACAAGACACAAGCTTCTCTCCAAAGTGTTGAATAGTGTCTGCGTCCTGGAGATCTAAACTGGTTTTCCTAGTGCCAAAGCCCAAGAGGGGCTGGGGACCCCAAGTGGCCCTGAGCAAGGTGGGAACCAGGCACACTGTATGTTTATACTGCCTTTTTTTGGGGGGGGCGGTCTCTGGTCTCTTCTCACTACAGCTTAGGACTCCTCCCTATCAACGTCTACTCTTGGGAAAGCTCTGGTGGCTTAGCGGTAAGGAGCTGTGCTGCCGTCTCAAAGGTGTGCAAACTTTCATTCCAATTACAATAAAAGACTTCAATACTTTTCTTCAATAGAAATTTATGAAAGTGTCATTAACATACCATCTAAGTATCAGTAACTCTGCATACAAGGGCCTTCAAATGATTCTTGAGGTCAATATGTCAAGAAAATAAAGAATCTTGATATCAGAGTTGTTGTTATGTGCCATCAAGTTGGAACAGACTCATAGCTGGCCCTTCAGCAGGTTTTCAGAGGCTGTAAATCTCAAGGGAGGAGATTGCCCACCTTCTCCAGTGGAGCAGCTGGTAGATTTGAACCACGCACATTTACTAGGCCACAGAGCTTCCCCAATATCAGAGCGATGAGACTGAAACAGCTGTGTCAAAGCACCATCTACACTGTACTTCATTGGGCTTCTTGCATTTTAAACACAGCACCATACGCAGGGAATTTTAAACATCTGATCAGAGGATGTTACAAAATTGTTCTTTATCACTGAAGATAGAGACTTTTTTCTCAACCTAAATTTATGGCAACTATGTGTGACTTGTCATAAAAAGTCTATATGGCTTGTTCCTGACGTGTCCCAAGATGCTTAAATGAAAAACAAGAAAAATAAAATAAAATAAAAAAAGCTGTGTCTTGGTGTCAGAGTGAATTAAGCAGGTGTCACATTTGTGCGAGTAATTTAGGTTGTGTCCAGTTCTATCCATAGTGAACAAGGTTCAAGAAATCTCTGGTGACCTAGTGGTAAGGAGCTGTGCTAACAAGTCGAAGGTACACAGTTCAAATCCACTAGTTGCTCCATGGTGGAAGGATGAGCAGTCTCCTCCTGTGCAATTTACAGCTTCTGAAAACGTGCTGGAAAAGCAGCTATGAGTCAGTTCTGACTTGATGCTACACTATGATAACTACAATACCAGATTCATTTTAAACCTGTTGTCTGCCTCTGACATAAAGATTCTACTTTTACAATCTATACTACATAAATACCAGAAATGTGCAAAAGTATGAATAAAGGAATACAAGTTGTTGTTGTGATGTGCCGTTGAGTCACTTGCGACTGATTCCTAGAGACCCTCTGTACAAGAGTCTTAAACCCTGCTCTATCCTGTGCCAACCTCACTGTCTCCGACACACCTACTCCCATTACCCCAATCACTGAATTGATCTGTCTCATCAAGGGTCTTCCTCTCTTGCACTGTCCTTCCACTATCGCAAACATGATGTCTCTCTCCAAGGACTGGTCCTTCCTTACATAGTAGCATTAATTATCAGTACAAAAATGGATATAATGTAAATATCTAAAAATAGGGTGCCAGTTAATTAAGTTACAGAAACCAGAATATTGCCACTGATCTTCTGAAAGGATAAAAGAAAATCCACTGGAAACAGCAAAAAGTGGGGTACAAAATAGCTTTTATGATGCAGCTATAATTCTGTAGAAATGTGGTATCACACATACACAGAGAGAGAGAGAGGAAGAGAAGGAGAGGGAGAGAGCAGAGAAAGAGAGAGAAGAGAGACACATTTCAGGAAACATTTCAGCCTGGTTATCTCTAATATTTATGATTCTGAGTGGTTTTCACTATCCGCCTTCTTTTTTCACAGTGTTTTAAAAATTAGATGACCCACTAATTGTTAGCTACAGATATAACTTGAAGCCAGATTGTCAAAGCAAGAATAGCATCAGCAGGATGCTTTGTGGGGAGTTACCAGTCTCCTCTTGAACGAAGGACGTTTTTCCAGAAAAGATCTGGCTTCCTATCTGTATTTTCCCTGGGCTGAAGTAGGGTCCGTCCAGCTTGTTGTCTTTGCAGAGCTTGGTGAGGATTTCGGTGGGCTTGGATGTGTCCCTCCAGGCGTTGTAGCCTTCTCTGAAAGGCAGGAGGACGGATATGGTGAGGGCTGCCTGTTGAGCTGGAGAAGACTCATTCTAAGCTCCTCCTCGGAAGGCCTTCCCAGGCACACCCTCATCAGAACAAGCAGCCATATGAGACTTCTCCGAAGCAGGAAGGGACAGGAAAGAGGATGAAGGGCAATGGTAAACACAGGGAGGAAGCAGGAAGAGTGCTGTTGCATGATGCCAATTGTCATGAACCAAACTGCATATTAACTGTCGGATGAAAAATCAGTTTTCTCTGTAAATGGCAACTCAAATCACAAATAAAAAGATTTTTTTTAAAAAAGAAAACTGCCTTGCAAGATGTGTGCTTTCCACCAGATTTCACTTGCTGTGCTGAACAGTTGGGACTAACCTATTCGCTCTATCCTATTTTCATTTCTCCCCTGAATGGTAGATGAGTTAGTATTCGTCATACAGACTGAATGACTAGTCTGTGTACAGTCGGCTCGCAACACAGGACTTCTAAGTAGCAAAATCCCTTGCTGTCGGTTTTTCTTTGGTCCCTGGAAGGACAGTCACTCTTTTGTTGTTCTTTTCGATTTCTCTGCTTCTGTCTTCCTTTCCTTACCTGCAACCAAAAGTCCTACAGACTGCTGTCGCAGGCAGAATGTTTGGATGCCTTCCTGGTAGTGAATTTCTAAATCCCTCCAACTCCCTCTTTCATTAAGAAATGAGCTGCTGGATTAAAAATTATTAGCTTACTTTAAAAAATGAACTGTTCATTTGAAAATTATTAGCTTACAATGAAGTGTACTAGCAAAGCTTCCTCAAATAAATAGCCCTGCTGATGTGGAGTCTGTCTGGGTTATGAAAGCTGTGTCTTGCCTGGTCTTCATAGAACTCAGACAACTGGGACACAGAGTCCAGAGCCCTGAGGCCTGGATCCCTAGCTCGGTGCCCCAGGACAGAGAACTTACATCTCATACTGGCTCTGCAAGCCGCAGATGGCTCGGTGTTTGCTGTAGAAGCGGTTTTCGAGGTCGATCTTGGTCTCACCAATGAGGTCATCTGTCCCGATCATGTCATGGTCATAGATCAGGACGGAGAGCAGAGAGTCCTTCGGGAATGTAGCCTGGATCTCAAATGACCTGTGACCCAAGCAGAGACTTTAAGAGTCAAACATGTTTGGGAACCCAGGGAAGCCTTCATTTCACTCTTAGGGGGAGCCTGTAACATTCAGCACAAGTATATCAAAGATGAGGTTGATACAGGGTCAATCGGACAGAGTTCAGATCCATCAATCACAGGTCACCCCAAGTCATACTAGACTCCATAGCACTATCAACAGTACCATTCATAGGACCCCGGATGGGGTGCATGATTTGCAGGGAGCTCTGGGGGGCTGTGCTGGGAACAGCAACCAGGACACAGCAGCTTATTCAGCACAGGGTGCATTTCGTTTGCTTTGAATTTTCATTTATACGCGTTGGGTTTTAGCCTTGCATGGGCAGATTTCCAAACCTTGTTGCAAATCTCCAATTTCCTGGTTTCATAACTTTGGGACGGTTATTTAATTCCTCCGACCTCCTTATGAATAAATGGAGATAAATATGTCTTCTTTATAAGTCAGGATGGTGCTTAAATACAGTGCTGTTTATATAATGCTCACATTTTGCTGCCAGGCATTGAACTGGTGGCCAATAAATTGCTTTTCCTTTTCTCCCCTATTGTTTCATCAGGGACGTGCCAGCAGGGGTTGTTTTAAGTGCAAACTCTACTGAAGATGAGAAATCATAACAGCAGAGCCTTGCAGACCAAGTGCTGTCTCTACAATCCCCTCGGCCCCTCGAGAGCTGGGACCTGCCTTTCACCTCTGCAGCGTTGCTACCTGCACCACAAATGCCCAAAGCAGACATTTAATACATGTTTGCTAGAACTCAAGAGCTCTTCAGGGAACTCTGGTGGCCTAGTGGTAAGAAACTGGGCTGCAATCCCAAAGGCACACAGTTCAAATCCATGAGCTGCTCCGTGGGAGAAAGATGGGCACTCTCCTCCCTTGGGATTTACTGTCTCTGAAAACCCACTGGAGGATCAGCTGTGGGTCAGTTCTGACTTGAAGGCACACAACAACAACTAGGGCTTGGGAAATCAGCATGTCGCATCCTTTCACCTTAACTGATGAGGACAGCAACGTCCCGAGATGGCCAGGAGCATAAATCATGCTGAACCCCAGTTCAAGTACCCCACCCCAAGTTCAGTGCTCTCTCCACAAGGCCACACAGTGCAGGCTTGTCCCATGGGCAGCAGTGGATTTCTTGTGACTTAGAGAATGAGTTCTAACATTTGAGCAGATGTACCTGAGAATTCAATTTTGAGTGAAAGCCAGGCTTTGAGGGAAATGCCTGTCTGAAAACAAAAGCAAGAACGCCTCAGTGTTTCCCCTGTGGTCCTGCGGTTCTGGGAGCTCTGGGAGTGGGTGAGGTGGGCTGGGCTGGGAGCCGGGGACAGTGGGGAGGTGAGTAGGAGGGGGATGTGGCTCATTCTGGCCCAGCCTGTCTGAGCTGCAGCCTGCCCACATGATCTGATTCTTTTTGTCCTGACAGTCTCTAGTGTGACAGGTATAGAATCACCACCCTGTATGGAACCAATTAACCCTCTAGAGGGTGACCAGAGTAGAGCCTTGCTTGACAGCTGGTGATTATAACTGATTGAGCAGCTCTATGGATGAGATAAGGCCGTGGGGAGGCCAGAGGCACAGGATTGCCTTCTCTACAGGCAACCCTGTAGTTTGATTCCAAATTGTAATTGATATTCTGGAAGGAATTCACAAGAAAGCCTCCAGCCTCTAATCCCTGAGCTCTGTCTGCCCAGTAAGGCTACTGCCCAGCCAGGACTCATCAAGCACTGAACTGCCCCAAGCAAGCGTGCAGGGAACTTGAGTTGCTGGTCCACCCATCAAACCATATGCTCTCAGATGACCCTTTCCAGAAGTTGGATTCGATCTGCCATTTAAACGGTACCCAAAGCAGCCCGCTGTGATTGGACTTGGCAACACGAGGGGCAAATTGAGCTTCTACGCCTGTGTGCGCATGAGATGTGGTCCCTAGATGCAAAGGCAGTTTGAGAAAGGAGAAAGAATTGTGAAAGGGATAAGAACTGAGTAGGAGGAAAGCAGCAAGCACCTCCAAGCTTCAGAAAGTGGTATCCTGCTCCCTGCCTTCATTCCTTCATTAACTCATTCATTCACACACTTACTATACAGGCACCAGTACCAGGCATGGAGCTCTGGTAGCCTAGCAGTAAGGAACTGCACTGCCAACCCAAAGGTACATGGTTCAAATCCACCTGTTGCTCCACAGGAGAATGGAGAAAATCTCCATTCAAGGAGAATAAGCAGTCTCCTTCTGAGTGATTTACTGCCTCTGAAAGCCTGCTGGAGGGGCAGTTATGAGTTAATTCTGACTTGACAGTACCTAACAACAACAGTAGTAGGTATGAACAAAATTTCCTGCCAGTGGGGAAGGCAGATTAGAAACTGGCTGAGAAAGAACCTGCAGGCTCTCACACAAGGTGTGATGATGCCACCTGCCACACACAAGGTGTGATGATGCCACCTGCCACCTGCCTGGGGCAAGGAGTAAGGACAATTTGAGAGATGACACTTCAGCTGAGACTTGACCACAGATAGGAGCTCTCCCTGCTCTGAATAGAGGCGTCTTTTATATTACTGTGTTTTGATTTACTGTGCTTCACAGATTTTTACTCTTTTTACAGCTTGAAGGAAACTGTGTCAAGCAAATCTGCTGTGGCCATTTTTCCAAAAGCTTGTCCTTGTGTCACGTTTTGGCAATTTTCACAATATTTCACTTTTTCATAATGCTCTTGATAGATTCATATGTCGACCCAAGCTCACTGCTGTGGAATTGCTTCTGACTCGCAGCTGACCCTCCGCTGGGTTTCTGAGGCTGCGGACCCCAATGGGAGAAGTTGCCTTCTTTCTTCCCCAAAGCAGCTGGTGGATTCAAACCACCGGAGACACTCGGCCCTTGGTCAGCAGCACGACACACGATGGACTATGGCTCCAGAGTGCTTTTCCATTGCGAAGGTGCAGTGGAAACATTACTTTTCTTTGCAGTGAGAAACCCAAATATCCATTCGACTCTTCTCATTGCTGTGTATGCTCTATTGCAGTGGTCTGGAACTGAACCAACACTGCTTCTAAGGTGTTCCTGTAGATGGAACCTCTGATCTTTGACCTCTGACCCCTGCCAAGTCAAGTCCCCCAATTACACACATTTAAACGACCATGTGTCTCATCATGATAGCATTCAGACACAAGCCATTTTTTTAATTTGCCTACTTTTTTTACAATGACTAGGGATGATAGAAGGAGAATTGATGCCTTTGAGCTGTGATATTGGAGAAGAGTATTGAATACACCATGGACTGCTGGGAAAACAAACAGGTTCGTCCTGGAGAGGGTTAAACCAGGCTGCTCCTTGAAGGCAAGGATCCTGAGGCTTCGTCTGACATACTTTGGGCATGTTGTAAGGAAGGACGGGTCCTTGGAGAAGGACATCATGCTTGGGAGGGTAGAGGAACAGTGCAAGAGAGGGAGTATGAGGTGGATTGATTCAGTGACTGGGGTAATTAGGGTGGGTGTGTTGGAGACGTTGCAATTGGCACAGGACAGAGCAGGGTTTAGGGCTGTTGTACATAGGGTCACTATGAGTTGCAAGCAACTTGATGGCACATAAAAAGCACAACAATAACACTTTTTTGGGTACTGGCTTGCATGTTCTAAAAGACTGGAACCTCGAGGGAGCTACTCACCACCCTCCATTGAAAGTTCTGGTGTCTTAATCTGTAGCTGGTTGTGCCATTAACCCAAAGCTTCTTATCTCTGGTGGCTCAAATCCACCTCACATGCAAAACAGAAAGTTGGGCCGCCCCCTCCAGTGAAGACGAACAGCCTCAGAAACCCAGTGGAGCATCGCGGTGAGTTGGGATCGATTTGACAGAAGTGAGTATGAGTTTCCAAGGCTGTAAATCTTCCCAGAAGGAGCCCACTCTGTCTCTCTCCCATGGAGTAGCTGGTAGATTAGAACTGCTAACCTTTCTGTTGTCAGTTGAGTTCCTAATGCGCTACACTACCGGGGCTTCTTGGAGGAAAGGAGAGATAGACATTAAACACAGAAAGACATCCAGGCACTTCAGAAGAAGTGAAAAAAAGTAAAGCAGGGTGGAGACCAAGGCCATGAGAGGTTGGTGCCTGTAAATACACATCTAACCAAATGTCCACAGATGGAAGCTTCTGGAAAGAGTCCTGCACTCACAGAAGCAGGAGGGAATATTCTGTCACCCTCTTATTTTCCACAGTTATAAAATGGGGGCAATAAACCAGCTGGGGTTATATCTCTGTGGGGAAATAAATAAGCACTTGACGAAACAAAGTGCTTGTTACAGAAATGGCAGGTGATGATAAAGGTCATCGCTGGGTGATGAGATGCGGGGTACATTACACGCCACCATCATTTTCATCACTCTCATTAATCTGAACAGGCAAGACCATTTATTGCCTCATTTCCTCAAGAGCAATAAAATGTAAGAGGCTGGTGCTGATCAAATGTCAGCTGGTGTAGAGACTGCCAATGTGGAGATGAGTTTAAATAGAGGGTATGGAGCTTCTTGTTAGTCAGAAAATAAAAAAAAACATACAAATGCACTTAAGGTGTATGTAATGCTACAGTGAGTATAGAGGCGAGGGCAGTAAAGTTGGTGCCTTCATGGAGGTGTTTACACGGTTAATCTAAAGATTCTGAGCGTCAGTTTTCACAGGTGCTGCTTTATCATGAGAGAGAACCTAGGATTAGAGGGGTTAAGCCATCTCCACAAAGTCACACAGCACATAAATGGCCACGACAAAGCAAAACCTGGATCTGCTTGACTCTAAACTTGATGGCAGCCAGGGCAATGAATGGACCTTTTCAGAGCCAAGAAGAGCATAGGAATATGTTAGAAGGCAAAGTCACACCCTGGAGAATGCCTAGCCCACCTGAGCATATATGGACGCCATCAATTTACAGGTTCAGTTCAAGAAGACAAAATATACTTCAGAAATGCAGTTCAACTTTTTTGCAATTCAAAAGTCACCCCAAATGAGGTGATGGTAAGGTTGTTAGGTGCCATCAAGTTGAGTACCCATAGCGACTATGAACAACAGATCTGAACCCTGCCCTATCTTGTACCATCCTTATCGTCCTGGACACATTTAAACCCATTGCCACAGTCACTGTATCTAGTTCATTGAAGGTGTTCCTTTCTTTCACTAACCCTCTATCTTTCCAAGCACAATGCCATTTCCTAAAGAATAGCATGCATTCATTGGCAAAGGACATTTTAACAACATGCCCAAAACACGTGAGGTAAAGCTTTGCCAGCTTTGCTTCCAAGGAGCCCTTGGGCTGAACTTTATCCAAGACATACCTGTTTATTCTTTTTAGCAGTTCATGGGATATCAAGTACTCTTCTCCAACACTACAGTTCAAAGGCATCACTCTTCTGTCATTTTTTTTAATTGTCCAGCTCTCAGATGCAGGTGACTGGAAGGACTACTGATTGAATCAAGAGCACTTTAGTCTTTAAAGTAACATCATTGCTCTTCAGGACTTTGGAGATGTCCCTGACAGCAGACTGACCCAATGCTGTATGTCTTTTGACCTCCTGACTTCTCGTCCCAAGGGTGTTGATTGTGGATCCAATAAGATGAAACTGTTGTCACCTTCACTTTTATCTCCGTCTATCATGATGTTGCTCATCAGTCCAGAGGTGAAGATTTTTGGTGTCTTGATTGAACGCTGTAGTCTTTTATCTCCTGAAGCAAGTACTTCAATTTCTCCTCATTTTCTGCAAGCAAGGTTGTATCATCTGCCTAATGCAGATTGTTGAGTCTTCCTGTAAACCTGATGCCACTTTTGAAATGATCTATTCAGCCTAGAGACTGGTTAAGGATAGAGAAAGGATAGAGAAAGGATACAGCCCTGATATACTTTTCTCAATTTTAACCATGCTAATTTTAAATCTTTGCTCTGCTCAGTCAGTGAGACTGGCTTAGACAGGGCAGGCTTCAGAGTCGCTGTATATAGGGTCACTATGAGTTGCCGGTGACTCAACAGCACATAACAACAATAACTGCTCAGGCAACAGCTTTTTGTCCAAAGTATAGATTTTGTATAAGCATAATTAAGTATCCTGGAATTCCCACTCTTCTCAATGTTAGCCATAGTTTGTTATGATCCACACAGTCAAATGTCTTTGAATAGTCAATAAAATACAGATAGACATTCTTCTGGTATTCTCTGCTTTAAGCCAGTATCCACCTGACATCAGTAAGGCTATCCTTGGTACCACGACCTCTTCTAAATCCAGCCTAAACTTCTGGCCATTCTTTGTCTATGTGTTCAGTTGTAGCTGTTTTTAGATGATTGTCAGCATTATTTTGCTACGTGTGATTTAACTCTTTTTTTAATAATGTAGGACTATCGTATTTTTGACATATGCTGCACCCACATAAATAACGGCGTATGGATATAACCTGCATAGTGCTCATAGGAAATTCACATGCAACGGGATTTATTTGCGCAACTCATTCTCATTGCTGTTGAGTCAGAACTCATAGTTGACCTGCCACTGGTTTCCCGAGGCTATAAACAGAACAGAAGGACGTTGCCCATCTTCCTCTCATGCGGCTGCTGGCAGATCCTGACCATAAGAGAAGCATCGTCTTTGAGTTACCAGCACAGCTCCCTGTAGTCTATGCCACCGGGACTGTAAGGGATGTATTATACACAATAAAAATATATGTAGCAAACAAACAAACAAACAAACATAAAAACCAACCAACTAAACAAAATCCCTTTGGCAGGAGACAAAAGACAACTTCTGATCTTTCTCCTGCACAAAAACACCCCCTTTGTCCTACACACAATCACTGTGTGATCTTGGCTAACTTTCTTAACTTCTCTGTGCCTCAGTCAACTTCTTTGTAAGAAGACAATCTCAACCTTGCTCAAAAGCAAGAGGCTGCAAGTGATGACTTTTCAACGTGCGTCTTTAGTGTAAAGTCAAGGCTAACATCACTGGAAGGCTATGGACACGAAGCAGACAAGGGGCCATGGGAGAGGATTTGGTTTCCTCCAGAAAGGCTGGTTCAGTTGTTATGGCAAGAGGTCAGTGTTGAGCCTCCAGACACCATTCACCCACACAGTCACACACGTACACACCAGCCTGCTTTATAAGCCCCAGAAGCAAGGCAGCCACAAATACCAAACGAACATCACGATGTAGCTCAGATGACCACTGACCTTCCAAATACAGGGTTCAGTTGTTTGGGAATGTACTTGTCCCGGTCTTTTATTTCTGTTTTGCCGAGCTTGATCACAATGTAGGGATCTGATTTTCCGTCTGGATCAGCTGGGCTGAGATTAAATGCCTGTGGGAGGGGAGAAAGAGACCCTCCCTTTAGTCCATGTTGGTTAATCAGTGTGAACTGCACACGAGGAGCTTTCAAAAATGTTGATGCTCGAGTCTGGTCCCCAGTAGTCTCATTTAATTGGTCCAGGGCAATGGGATGTGAGAGCTCCCTTGATGATTCCAGTGTGCAGACAAGATCAAGAGTCGCTGCTGTTGCTTTTTGAGTTTACTGTGTAAAGTTGTCAGCTTTGCCCAAATCAAACCTACACTGGTGTTGCCTCCCCAGTGGAAAGCAACTCACACAGGGTAATTAGGCACATGCTAGACCACGAGGCAGGAGATATCTCTGAGTTCTCACTCTAGCTCCCACTAGATTTGTCCTACTCCTGTTTTTAATCTATAAAATCACAGGGTGGACCTGGAAGACCCTTCTGGAAATAATGGTGCCTGAATCTATGACCCTGTGAGCCTTGCAATTAACACTGGCCAGTTGAGTGATGGGCTTCCTCTGAGGGTGAAGCTTGTTGCCAGATTAGCTGGACCTTACACCACTCATGGAAAACAAATACTTTCGAGGGAAAGGCTGAGTTAGGATGCTGTTGAAGAATGGGATAAAAAGATAGACCAGCTCTGCAAAGACTAAGGCTGAGAAATGATCATTTCAAACTAAAGCCGAGTCCATTTCTAGGACTCTTTCTTAGGGAAAGATTGGCATAAGCACATAAAGGAATATTTTCAAGGAGGTTCATGAAGCATTACTTAATGGTTAAAAATGATAAACAACCTGAATATCAGTTATCAGGGGAGAAATAACCCCAAGTAGCCCCACTTCACTCTCTGTCACACCACTCTGTTTTGAGTCTCTTCATAGCAGTTATCTCTGACATGTCTCAATTTTCTTATCTGCATCTCAGCTAATTTTCATAAGTATGTATGTGAATGTGTAGGAAAAGGAAGTCACCTGCAGATAAATTACAGAGGGGAGGAGATTTGATCTTTTTAAAAATGTAACTTTTTAAGTAGTGTGAGTTCTTTTTATTTTTATAAAAAACTTTTATTATTAGTAGTATTAGTATTATTCTGGTTTATTTATAAAATCCACAAGAACATGGAAACAGCCCAAATGTCTAACCACAGTGGAATAGATAAATTATGGTACATTCACACGATGGAATACTATGCAGCACACAGGAGCAATGATTTTATAAATTACTATCTGACTTGGGAGGGACCAGAGAGCATCATGCTAAATGAACTAACTCAGTCTCTTAAGGACAGATATTGTGTAAGACCATCATTGTAGAACAGGTATGAGGATCCAGTGGGGACAAGGGTGACAGCAGAGGGGTGAGGATGGGATGGTTAATCATAGGGTCACACAATTGGATGCGTGGAGGGAGGAGTGGGTGAAACAAACGGGAAAGATCTGGTATGAAAACTCTTTAAAATGTTTCTTGAATTACAAAGACCTTTAACTTAAGCAATTTAGTTAATGAAACCTTAGTGTGGGAGAGCAAACCCCCCCAAAAAAGTCACAGAGAAGCATTGGTTGATGTAACAGCCATTGGTTCATCTCCCCCCAGGCATGTGAGCCTCCTGCACTCTATATGTGTAAATCCTTCCTGCCCTTGAGTTCCAGCCCAAGCCGTCATCCTTCACACTGCCTTCTGGGAAGGAGCCTGGCTGTGTCCCTGTGATTTGTCTCGAGAGTATTGTACACATGAAAGGTGTGAGGTCGGTTCTTGATGAATGGATGAAGAATAAGGGGACAGTCTTTTCCAGTCTCTGTGGCCAAGGGCATTTTACCCTCTGCTAACTATTATTCAACTAACTTTGTAGCTTGGGTATCTGTATTCTTGCTTGTTTACCATTGCTTGAATTAGTACAGCAATTGTCTGTCAGTTTGCTGCACTAAAGTACCATGTGGGTCCTGTGACACTTAAAGCTATGCTACCTGTGTGCTAAATGCCAGAGGGGTCTCTCATGGTGGACAAGTCTTAGTAGAACTCTCAGATTTAGATAGGCTAGGAAGCAGGATTGGCCATTCACTTCTGAAATAGCAGTCCCCTGAAAATCCTGTGGAAAAAATAGAGGAGCCTGGATAGATAGAGTATTAGAGGTAGAGGCCAGATTGGAAGTCAATCAAAATGAGGAGAAACAGCTATAAATATCTTTTGAAGGTAGAGGGACAGTGAAACAGAGGAAGACCTTCAGCCAGGTGGATTGACGCAGTGACTGTAGCAATGGGTTTGGGTGTGATTGTGATTATGAGGATAATACAGGACAGGACAAGGTTCAGACCTGCTGTTGACAGGATTGCTATGAGCCATACTTGACTCAATGGGCAACTAATAACAACAACATAGTTTCCACTCAGCCAAGAAACAAGCTTTAGAATAATAAATTACCTGTCATTATGAAAAACCCTGATGGCGCAAAGTTAAACACTGGGCTGCTAATCAAAAGGTTGGTGGTTCAAATCCACCTGCTATTCCTGGAGAAAGATGACATAGTCCATTTCCATAAAAATGATATCTACTCAATGACAGTGGTTTAAGGACTGGAGTTTGTCATTGTCAATAGTTCCTGCCAAATAATTCTAACCTTCCTAGCTAGGCTATGACTTCCTAGAGGGAAAAGACTGTCATTTTCATCACAGCATCCTTAATAATAACACCCCGTCACATGGTGATGTTCACAGTGACAATGGGACAACAGGGCTGAATAACAGCACATTGTTAGTGTTCTTTCCATTAAAGAATAACTCATCTCTATGTTTTATTTGTTTCTGAGAAAGGAGGTAGACAATCTAAGCAGAGACTTACTATGAAAAATAATATTGTTACTGTCAAATAAGATTAGAAAAATCAGGTTAAGGGTTGGGAGATGGAAACAAACCCATGAACCATAACGGTTTATGCAGCTGCTTTGACTGAACACTGGATTTGATCCTGAAATTTCTGGTTGTGAGGTGAAAAAGTGCCATAATTAAATTTCCTGTTCTTAGTGTCATTACGGTTGGTGAAAAGAATGAGATTGTTAACGATTTTCATTTGCTTGGTTCGACAATCGACACTCTTGGTACCAGCAGCCAGGAAATCAAGAGACAAATTGCATTGGGAAAGTCAGCTGTGAGGGAATTCTCCAGAGTACTGAGGAGCAATGACATCAGGCTGGAGACTAAGGTGCATCTGATCCGAGCTATAGTCTTAGCAATTGAGTGCTATGAGTCAGAGAGCTGGACAGTGACTAGGGATGAGAAAGAGAATTGATGTCGTTGAGATGTGGTGCTGAAGAAGAAACCATGTTCTGGGAGAACAAACAGGTTTGTCCTGGAGAGGGTGAAACCAGGCTGCTTCTTGGAGGCAAGGATTCTGAAGCTTCATCTGACATACTTTGGGCATGTTGTAAGGAGGGACCAGTCCTTGGAGAGGGACATCATGCTTGGGAGGGTGGGAAGACAGAGCAGGAGAGGAAGACCCTCGAAGAGATGGATTGATTCAGTAATTGGGGCAATGATAGTAGATGTACTGGAGACAGTGAGGTTGGCACAGGATAGAGTAGGGTTTAGAGCTCTTGTACATAAGGTTGCTATGAGTCACAAGCGACTCGATGGCACATAACAACGACAACATTGTCAGAATGGGGAAAACCTAGGGGAGACAAAGTTTGTCTTGGAAATGCATTAAAAATAAGATGCCGGGGAGCTCTGGTGGCCTAGTGGAAAGGAGCTGCAACTACAATCCCAGAGGCGCACGGTTCGAATCCACCAGATGCTCTGCCGGGGGAAGGAGGAACAATCTCCTCCTGTACCAGTCAGATCTAATTTGACGGTACACTCACACAAAAATAATAAAATAAAAAAATTTAAAAAAATAAGATGCCAGTCATGGATGGTGAGGGCACAGTGGTCACCGGGTGTGGTGTGGCCCTTGGCCTGGCTGGAGCCCAGGCTTAGGGAGAATACCAACCTTTTCATCTATTATTTAATCCAGTTCTGCGGTCACTCATGGATCTTTACCAATATGACAGGCAGCTTCTTTACATTTGCAAAAGATTCAACAGCTGACCCATTTTATGCTATAGGACTTGGGATGTGGCTTTGCTGGTCCGTTTCCCTCCGGGAGCTGCTGCATCTGTTCATTGGCATTGAATCAAACCACCTTCTCCCCACGTTTCTCCAGCTCACAGAGAGAATAATCATCGTCTTCGTGGTCATCACCAGCCAAGAGGACCTCCAAGAGAAATACCTGGCGACTGTTCTAGTCGTCTTTTGGCATCTATTGGATAAGGACTCCTATTGGATGTAGGGCACCGACAGCTTGCTGTCAGCCACAGGGGCTCCTGTTCTGGCTTCATGTGCCTCAGTCAAACTTTCTGGATGCTGGTTTATCCTCTTTGTGTTCTCGCTAAAGCATTTGCCATCTATCAGTCGCTGCCTCATTTGGAATAATTTGGTACGTACTCCATCAAGCTGCCCATCTCTAAGCTGTAGCCACCTATTTCCCATACGTGCTGAAGGTATATCTCATGATACTTTTTAGGTATGTGTCTGTGACACTGATGTGTCAAATGCGAGAATTGTTACCCATGGTCGACAGTGTTTGGTGGGGCTCCCCGATTAAAACAAGCTTGGAAGCAGGAGTGGCATCCACTTCCGAAGGAGCTTGCCTCCAGAAACCCTATGAACCTGGAGAAAGGACGAAAGTTATACAAACGTCCAGATCTTTCATTCATAGGGTTGCTATGAGTCACCTATGACTCGACGGCACTTCAACAACAACATTTTACCTAAACTTATCTGTACTCAGAAGAGATGTCCTCAGAGTCTTGCCCATCCAGAAGAAGAAAATGTAAAATCCCGCGTTCCAAGGACAGGATTAGAGATTCAGCTCCAGAATATACAATAGAAGAAGCATTCTGGTGGGAAAGTACCTGGCTTTTGACAAACAAGTACACCAGGAGATAAATGCACAGCCCTTAAATACTCCAGACATTCAATTGCATCTGTTTCTTGTGAATTGTATTTTGAACATATACTTTGGGCAATTTCTTCACTAAAGCTGTGGATTTCATACAAGTTTTTTTTAAAAGTGAGATTCTTAACTACATTAGCAGAGTGGAGTGACTTTGAGGGAAGAATTCCACAGGTCTACACGGGCTCGTTCCTCCTGTAAGCTTTCTTCTTCAATCCTATTTGAGTGACTTCTCAGCCAATAGACAACTGCAGAGGCTCAAGACAGCTGCAAAGGGGTGTCGAGATGCCTTGAAAGTATTTTCCCATCAATCCAAGTATAAAGCCAGGAAATGTCCATGTTGCTAACACAACTCCACACCCCTCAGCCTAGACAAGGATGACTCACCGCTACAATGTACACCCGGACCAGAACTTTGACTGGGTAGTTGGGTGGGATGCCTTGTTGAATTCTTAGCTGCCCATTCTCTTCAGTGTTGGAATCCTCAGGACTTTTGTAGATGCAGAAGGAACCCTAGAAACATAAAGAACAATCATTTGAAACAAAATGGTCACAAGTCTTACCAATAATCACACATGGCAAAGTGCTGGAAGAATGAGCACAGGCTGAGCCCCAGTGTGACCAGGGCTGGCAGGAAAACTGCCAGCTAGATGGCACTGGGTGCATCATCGACCCTGTTTGGCATCTGTGTCGCTTCATGGTACCCCCATGATGGTGCAGGAGCACCTTTCACACAGGAGGGTCAGGTGACAGCGCGAGAGCCCACACATGGGGTGCTGGGCTGGTGCTTTCATTCATTTCTGACTCCAGTATTCCTATTTCCAGATAAAACAGAGTCAGGGAGGTCAAGTACATGGCCCAAGATCATGCAGCTGCCAGGTGATTTTAATCCAGATTGGCAAAAGGGCAAACTCCTGCTATTTCTAGCACACCACAGTATACACAAGGGACCCTGCACTGTAAAGTAAGTCGATGGCAAATGTTAGACAGTATTTGTAACACAGCCATCATACGTCTTCCTGAAGAAGAGTTTTTTTATTTGCTTAATTTAATTGTCAATAGACCGGCTTCCACAAATGGTGTATATTGGCTTTCAGAGCGGGGAGGAAAGGGTAAGTCTGTGTGGAGACAACAAAGCAAAATTCAGTGGTCCTGTCAGGTAATGAGTCTGCCTCCTTCTTCTTCCATCAGACTGAGCTCCAAGCCACTTTATTGGCCACATTGTAAAATACAGACACACTTTCATTTTACTGTGCTTCACAGACACTGCTTATTTTACAAAGTAAGGTTTGGGGCCATCCTGCCCAGAGTAAGTCTATTGGTGCCATTTTCCCAACAGCATGCTCTCACTTTGTGTCCCTGTGTCAGTTTTTGGTAATTCTCACAACATTGAAGGCTTTTTCATAAGACTGTTGCGTACTTAATAGATTAGCACATAGCATAGAAATAGCTCTCACAGGTGTTGCTGTTGTCATTAGGTGTCCTCAAGTCAACTATGGTTCTCAACAACTCTTGGAAGAACAGATCTGAATCTTGCCCTATCTTGCACCATTCTCACCATTCTGCATATGTACTCAACTGTAAACAGACCCTTGGCAGTGCAATAAGAGAGATACAAATTAAAACCACAATGAGATACTATCTCACTTCAGTAACAGTTGGCAAAGTTTAACGGGACAGCAAGTAATAAATGGTGGAGAGAATGTGGTGAGAGAGGAACTCGTATATATTGTTGGTGGGATTGCAAAATGGTACAAACACTCTAGAAGGTAGTTTGATGTTTCTGCAACAAGCTGAACATAGAAATTCCATATGACCCAGCTATTCCACAGCTTGGAATACACCCCAAGAGAATGAGAACTGAGGCACAAATGGAGACTTATACACCAATGTTCGTAGCAGTGTTATTCACCATTACAAGAACATGGAAAAATCCCAAATGTCCAACCATGATCAAATGGAATGAAAAATTATGGTACAATCACACAATGGAATACTATACAACACGCAGGAGCAATGATTTTGTAAATTACTACCTGACTTGAGAGGGACTGGAGAGCATTAAGCTAAGTGAACTAACTCAGTCCCATAAGGACAAATATTATATAAAACCATTAATGTAGAATGAGTATGAGGATCCAAGGGGGTGGAGAGTGGGAGCAGAGGGGTGAGGATGGGCGCAGGTGGGGGGCATTAATTATAGGGTCACACAATTTGAGGAATGGAGGGAAGGGTGAAGGAAATGGGAAAGATTCCGTGTGAAAAACAATGCATAACTTTGTAAATAAACCACTATAAAAGAAAAAAAAATTTTTTTAAAAACCTTCAAAACAAAACCCCAAACCCTTATTAACATCAAAGTAGCCAGAGTGTGCTTTGGCTGCAGGGATGAGGAGTTTTGGCCTCACATACTTCGGGCAGGTTGCTAGGAGGGGGCCTATTCCTTGGAGAGAGACATGATGCTCAGAAAGGCAGAGAACAAAGGAGAGGAAGATCCTCACCCAGTTGGACTGGCACGGTGACTGCTGCAATGGGCTCTGCCGTGTCAGGAGGGGTGAGGTTGGCACAGGATATAACAGGGCTCAGATCTGTTGTTCATAAGGTCACTATGGGTCATACTCAACTCGATGGCACTTAACAAAGTACCATCAAGGTGGAGCTGACTCATCTAACCCTTCATTGGGTTTACAAGATAGTAAATTATATGGAAGGAAACTGTCTTTCACATGGACTGTTGTTGTTGCTGTGTGCCATTGAGTCACCTGAGACTCATAGTAACCCAAAGTACAACAGCCCTAAACCCTGCTCTATCCTGTGCCAATCTTACTATCTCTGACATACCTACCCCCACTATGACAGTCACTAAATCAATCCATCTCATTGAGGGTCTTTCTCTTCTGCACTGTCCTTCCACCCTCCCAAGCATGACATTGCTCTTCAAGGACTGGTCCCGCCTTGCAACATGCCCAAAGTATGTCAGACAGAGCTTCAGAATCTTTGTCCTCAAGGAAAAGCCCGGCTTTACCCTCTCCAGGATGAACTTGTTTTTCTCCTAGCAGCATATGGTATATTCAATACTCTTTTCCAGCACCACAGCTCAAGGGCATCAACTCTCCTCCTCTCATCCCTAGTCTCTGTCCAGCTTTCTGATGCATAGCAAGTGATTGCAAAGACCATGGCCTGTCCTAGCTCTGGTGGCCTAGTGATAAGAAGCTGCGTTCCAATCCCGAAAGCATACAGTTTGAGGCCACTAGGGGCTCCTCATGAGGATAGACAATCTCCTCCCGTATGATTAATTGCCTTTGAAAACCCACCAGAGGGTCAGCTATGGGTTAATTCCAACTCTATGGTACACAACAACAATCACATGCACTGTTGTTGTTGTTAGATGCCATCGAGTTGCTTGCAACTCACGGCAACCCTATGTACAACAGCCCTAAACCCTGTTTCTTGCCAATCTCATTGTCTCCAACAAGCCTATCCCCACTACCCCAGTGATAGAGTCAATCCACCTCATAGAGGGTCTTCTTCTCCTGCGCCATCCCTCCACCTTCCCTAGCATGATGTCCCTCTCCAAGGACTGGTACTAGATAACCAAAAAGCCACATGACCTGTTTCCTTGCAGCACCCTCTTTATTGTGGTGGCCTGGAATTGAGCATGCAATGCCCCCAAGGTGCCCCTCTACCTCACGAGACTGGTCTTGGTCCTGTGTGGTTGGGGAAAGGTTCTGTTGTTAAGATGAAGTGTTTTCACAATCCTTTTGATCGAGTTCAGAGGTGTGTAACAGTATGAGCAGTGACAGACAACGAGGACTGGCATCGAGGCTTACCTTAAACTTTCCTATGACTCGATCTCCATCAAGGCCATGGTCGTCCTCTGTAGACTTGCCTCTGAAGAGCTCAAAGGTTTTCACCCAGTCTTCAAAATTGTTGAACTCACTTTCAAGATCACCATCATATATCTTTAGAGAAAAAAGAGAGAAAACTTTGCTAAGAGAAAAGAAAACTCAGGAGTGACTTGATGAGAAATGCCATGATATTCCCAAACTACTCTTGATGTATACTTTTGGGGGGAAAAATTCTAGAGATCATTGTTAATTTCTCTTTAGAAGAGAAAGAAACATGATAGTTCACTAGTTCTAGTGTATTCCAAAACTTATGAAACTTTTTAATGACATTGAAGCGGACCTTTAAAAGTACTATATATATGTACCACCATAACTTGCCTTAGGGAACTCTGTTGGCTTAGTGGACAGGAACTGTGATGTCAATTCAATGACACGTGGTCCAAATCCACCATCTGCTCTGTGAGAGAAAGGAGGACAATTTTCTCCCATACAGTTTACAACCTCAGAAAACCCACTGGAGGGGCAGCCAGTTCTGACTTGACAGCACATAACAACTACATAACATGCCTCTGGTACCCTCATAGATGAAGAGTTGCACTGCCAACCTAAAAGCACGAGCTTTGAATCCACTCATTACTCCACTAGTTACTCTGAAAAAGATGACTAATCTCCTCCTCTGTGATTTACAGCCCCTAAAAACCCACTCACCAGAAGGTCAGCTAGTTGGTTCCCACTCAATGGTACATAACAACAACAGTTTCTGGATATCAATAATAATAGTTTGGTGACATTGAATTCCTAAATGTTAAACTTCTAATTATCATTAGATATAAAGTGACAGAATATTTCTTTATTATAATGCTTATAAAGAACCCTGGTGGTGTAGTTAGTCATGGAATAAGCTTCTAATGGAAAATTTGGCAGTTTGAATCTATCAACTATTTGAATCTATCAATTGTTCTCAGGAGAAAGATGGAGAGTTTCTGCTTTTAAGTATTTTCAGCCTCAGGAACCTGATAGGAGGGGAACTGTGAGCCAAAATCCATTTGAGGGCTGTAGGATAAATGTGTAGAGATGGGACTTTTCCATGTGGGAAATTATATATCCATGTTAGAAAAGCAAAAGCAATTTGTGGTTTAGGTGTGGCGACAATAAAACTACACATTCAAATTTTCTGTCCAAATTACTTATTTAGAGAAATAATTTTCATACTTTTAATTTGTATGTCATAAAAGTACTGTTAGAGAATGACAAAAAATTACAAAAAAAATAAAGATTGATATCAAGAGTATATATAAGAAAATATAAACCATTTTAAAACAAACAGCTGTGCTACAATCCCAAAGACTTGAGGTTCAAATCCACCAGCTGCTGTGAGGGAGACCAGTGGCCAGTTTTCTGCACTATGATTAACTACAAATAACCTCTGGCTAGTGTTAAGATAAGGCGTTCTGGTGGCCTAGTGGCAAGAAGCTGGGCTGCAATCCCAAAGGCACGCAGTTCAGGCCACGAGCTGCTCCGTGGGAAAAGAATGGAAAATCTGTCTCTGAAAACCCACTGGAGGGCCAGCTATGAGTTGGTTCTGACCTGTCAAGACACAACAACAACAACATTAAATGAATCTGGCAGAGCTGACTTTATTTAGAGTTAAAACTCTTGCCATATCGAGTGTATACACATTTACAGGATGATGTCAAGCTCAAGAGGTGGAACAAAACAGACACTGTCAATTCCCTCACCAGAACTGGGTTAAACAACTGTAAATCGGGTCTTGTCACAAGGTAAAGGTATCAAAAGTGGAAAATGAGCAGGCTCTCACATGCTTATTTTAGTGCCATGGATTCCCCTGCTTTAGTGAGTATATAAAAGTAAAATTAGTTCAAACAAAAGCATTACTGGTTCAAACTCACCCAGTGTCTCCATGGGAGGAAGAGTTAGCAATCTTTTCCATAGAGATTATAGCCTCTCAACTCGACTCAACTCAACTCAACTCACTGTCCACAAGCAGGAACCAACTCACAGATGACCTTCCGGGTTTCTGAGGCTGTAAATCACACAGAATGAGACTGGCCATCTTTTCCTGAGGAACTTCTAGTGGATGTGAATCACTAGAAAGGCACAGCCTTCGGGTTTGCAGCACATAAAGTCATTAAGAGTAAGAATCTATCACACGGCATCCCAGAAGAAGGTTGACTACAGCCTTGGCAGACCCCAGCTCTGAGCCCATCTCTCTCCTGGCAAACGAGTCTGTGTCCACTCACCTGCAAAACAGCCAGGTTGGGGATTTCCTCTTCTTTGAGTTTCCTCTTGAATATTTTGTCTTTCTTCTTCTTGGGGCTATCTTCTATATTTATCACAACCTGGTCCGTCTTCCCCTCTGTGGACAGTCAGAAGAAACTGTTAGATGTCTCGTGGTTGTTGTGATGAGAAGTAAAGCCAATGTCTTTCCCTTTATTTGGACAAGTATCATGCATCTTTTAAAAAAAAAATATATGGAAGTAGTTATTTCCCTCCCCTTTTTTAAATACATTTTTTACAGCATATTTTTCTCATTTAATTTTTTTTTCTCCCATTCATTCATTGTTGCATATTTTCTTCTCTGCCCACCCCTCCCCCCAGTTTGCTTCTCTTGGAAAAAAATCCTTTCATTGTTATACAATGCCCCCAAGTCCACAGTCCACTTTACTATACATTTCTTTTTCTGCAATCTTGTCATGAAAACAATACCTAATCATATATTTCTTTTAAACAGTTCTCTCCATCTGTTTCAATGCAGTATACATTATTTATCCCCTCTTTTCTTAGGTTCCCCCAACTCTGATGTGAGTCCTGTTTTACAACAGTGTCACTATGCAGTATTTGTCCTTTTATAACTGAGATATTTCACTCCGCATCATGTCCTCCAAGGTTACCCATTCTGTATAATAGTTCATGAGTTCCTTGTTTTTCAATGGACATCTAATTTTTTTTAGAAAAGAAATAGTAACATTTAGCTGCAAGGTCATCAGTACTTTCCCACATCTGGGCACTGTGTGACCAACCCCAAGGGATGTCACTCATATAAAAATGCAATGTAAAATACCCTTTGGGTTGGACAATGTGGTGGCCTGTCCCAATATCAGTGTGAACACATTAAACCAGGCACACGTGGGATTAACAGTTTGTCTAAAATCACTCAGTTAGCCAAGAATGGACACCCAGGAGGGATTGACTCCAAAGCTTGTAGTTGTACTTCCTTTCAGTTCACATTCTGTGTATGAGCAATAGACATATTGCTAATTGAGCAATGTGAGGCTCAATTAAACCCACAGCGTCCCTTTTCAGCAGGAAGTAGCTAAGAGAATACGCCATCCCCTTTTCCTTATGAATCAGGGTGAAGTCTCTCTCAGGGAGGAGTGATAGGGAATGGCAAAGGACACACCGACAAAGGAGATTAATCAGAACTGGCTTTGACAAGCACTGTGGCAATTGGACAATTAAAACAGACATTCGGATGGCGGGGAAGAAGAACAAACTGGGGAGGAGGGTGGAGAGAATGGTGCGGCAATGAAGGAGTGAAAGCCCAGAATCCCTGTGAATGTTCATTGAAACTAATAAAATTTAATAATAATATATTTAAAAAAAAGAAAAAAATTATGTTTATGATCTTGCACAAAATTACATAAGCTTGATATTGTCACCAAATTGACTTGACTCCTCGCAACCTTATACATCAGTATAAAGTGCTCTGTCTTCGTGACTGTCACCAGTTAGAACTATTGTAGCGATTATGGTGAGATTAGGAATTTTATTTTCTTTTTTACTGGTAGGCTTTAGAGTTAAATTGGCTGAGATGGGCTTCTGACTCCTCTACTTCCTAGCTGTGTAACCCTGGGCAAATCACTCAGCCTCTTTGAGCTTTCACATCATCATCTGCAAAGAAAGGCTATTATTGCTTGGGTCGTGTGGTTGGTCTGAGAGTTTCAGTGGTGCTTCTGAGTGACCTGAAGAACTGACCTGCCTCTCATCTTCCTTCTGACAGTGTGACCTGACACGGGCTGCTTGGTTTGCTGTTAATTTGAGGCCAAGATCTACAGTTGGCTTGAATTGAGTTTGTGGTCATTTTAAACCCCAAGCTTCCCCCTGCCCGGCCCCCCCAAATTTGAGCTTCTGCCAGGCTAAACTGATCCAGTCCTTGTAAACTGAGTTTTGGAATCTGAATCTAGGCCTTTGCACACACACCCTATCTAAGGTTGATGGTGTTGGTTTGCCTGTCCTTCTGTGTGTTCCTATTTTTACACTCCTGTTTCTACATTTGGACCATCAATGTTGGGACAGGAGCCAGCGGGTCAATTTCAGCCCCGAGCTGGATTCAGGAGACCTGGGACCTGGTCCCAGTTCAGCTCAAAATGGCCAAGCAAGCTTTTCAGGCTTGTCATCTTCCCAAGTGTGTTTCCTTAATTTTTAAACAAGGAGATTGAGCTCTGATATCCTTACTCATGTCCTTCACGTCATAATTTCCATGCAAAAGTGGCCCGTTTTTTTGTCCAGAGGTCCTCAGACCAGCCACTCACCTGCAATACCCTTTTTCTCCTTGAGTTCACTCTCCTTTGCCTTTTGAGAAAAGAGGGAGATAAGATTACCAACTCTGTTATGCCAAATGTGTTCCTCTTGACAGCTAACCTGCCTCATTCAATCATCTCAACTCTGCAATCCCAGGAGTCAGTATCATTTGAAAAGATAATTCAAAACAGCCCCATAAGCCTCCTCCAAATGAAAACCCACTGAAAAGTCCTGGGACTGGGAAGCAGTGAGAGGAATCCTGCCGTAAGAGGAGGGTCCACATGTCCTGGAAAGTTGTTCCAACTGGCAGGAGTGTGTCTTCTCTGCTCACAGGTGAGAAGACTGCACACAGTGCCGTTTTCTGGGATCTCTGAGTGCAGGTTCCTCAGCTACTACAAGAAAACCTTCCCTCCCAACACCTTCTCCACGTTTGCACAGCATCACCCCAGCCTGCACTCTGGATTCTAACTATTGACTCATTGGATGGTTGAGTTGGGACCAAGATCTGGAGGGAGAAAGTCATCTCACCAGAATTAGAGACGTTCATCTCAGTCAAGAGAAAGAGGTCGGGGTTAGAGACTAGAATGTGGTTTGTTCACTTGGCGAACCATTTGCTTGTAAAATACTGCTAGATTTAAAAACCCACAGAACAGAAGAGTTTCTATTCAGTTAATTATGATTACTCTAATGTCTCTTTACTTGTTCACTTAAGGTTGAGAATTCTTGCTAAATCTAGTCACTGAGGTTTTGCGGTGTTCACTGGCCCACAGTCCTTCCACTAGCTCACTGGTTGTATTTTGTTTGTGTTTTTTCCCCAGCACAATAAGTTACATTTTCAGTTTTGGGGTTTTGTTGGATTTTTTTTTTTAGTTTTGCTTACAAAGTTTATACACATTATGTTTCACACTATCCTTCATTCACATTGTGTTTCGAACAATCATTCCTGTTCACTATGTTTTATAAAATTAATCATTGAACTATGCACACCATAATGTTACTCTGTCTTTCCAGATCCCCATTGGATCTTTCCCATTTCCTTTACACCCCCTCCCTCTATCCACCAAATTCTATGACCCTGTGATTTGTCCCTGCCCATCCTCACCCCTCTGCTCCTACCCTCTCACCCTTGGATCCTCATACACGTTTTATTAGTTATCTTTCTATTTCTACAATACTAGTGTTATGCAGTATTTGTCCTTATGAGACTGGGTTAGTTCACTCAGCATAATGCTCTCTAGACTCTCCCATGTGATATAGTAAGACTTCTTATATGAGCTTAGAATCCTGGTTGAACCCATGGACCCAACTATCTCCAGGTAAAGGTGGGGCCTTCTCACTGACATCCACCTGCCCTGAGGCCCTATTTCTCCTTTTAAGACCCTCTGAGTCAGACGACTGGGCTGAACCTCCCTCCAGACTTCACAGCAGGATCTGGATCCTCGAGCCAGCTCCATCACCTTGCAGGACTGTATAATTCTATGCTCCTGACAGAGGAACCCTGGAGGTACAGTGGATGAAGAATGGAACCAACTGCTCCAGCAGAAAGAAATGAGGCATCCTGCTTCGGTAAAAATTTATAGCCTTGGGGACTGAGCAGATTCATCTCACTCTGTACTTTAAGATTGCTATGAAAAACAATAACAACAACGAGATTGCTATGAATTAGAATTGGCCTGACAGCAGTGTAGGGTAGTAGTGGGCCTGGCAGGTTTTCGACCCTCCACAATGAATAGAACCACACCAGATGAGGGCTTATGCAGAGGGGAATTTTAAACAGGGGTGAAGGAGGAAAAGGTAGATGGGATTTGGGGAGGTAGAAGGTACTGAGCTTTCTTATTGAGGTCCTTGGCTTTAAAACCCAGAGGACCCTGTACCGTCTGTGCTTTCTTCACAGAGGCATAATACTTGGACCACCAGTCAATGACATTTTCAGCCGATTCATCAGCTATGGTTCTCTTCTTTCTTTTCGTGGACCTCCGGGAGGGTTTCCTGGCATCCTGGCAAGAGACAAGGCAGAGCTGATTAGCAAAAGCTCGTGAAGCTACATGGTCATGATCAATTAGCTCTGTGGTGCACATCTGGAGGTGCCAGTTGGCTTTGTGCACAGTTCTCTGTGTCATTTCAAGAACCAAAAAGCTAACAGTCCATCCACTCATTCAGTAAACATTTACAGAGCAAATGTGCTTTAAATGACATCAAATACTGTATATACCATTGAGATGTCAGAGGGATGAGCTTCAATCCTCATACTGGGGAGGCTTACAACTTACTACAGAAGACAGGCATGCAACGGATGAGTGTACAACACTATAGTACAATGTGGTACAGTAGAAGGGGCAGTTGTTGTTGTTGTTGTTGTTGTGTGCCATCGAGTCACCTGTAACTCATAGCAACCCTATGTACAACAGCCCTAAACCCTGCTCTATCCTGTGCCAATCTCACTGCCTCTGACACACCCATCCTGATTACCCCAGTCACTGAATCAATCCATCTCATCAAGGGTCTTCCTCTCTTGCACTGTCCCTCCACCTTCCCAAGCATGATGTCCTTCTCCAAGGACTGATCCCGTCTTGCAACATGTCCAAAGTATGTCAGTCAGATGAAGCTTCAGAATCCTTGCCTCCAAGAAGTAGCCTGGTCTCACCCTGCCTAGGATGAATCTGTTTGTTCTCCTAGCAGTCCATGGCATATTCAATACTCTTCTCCAGCACCACAGCTCAAAGGCTTCAGTTCTCCTTCTATCATCCCCAGTCATTGTCCAGCTTCAGAAATACTGGGGTTATAAATCATAACCTACTGTTAAACCACACTGCCATTGAGTCGACTGATTAGAAGCTGTGCTTCAATCACAAAAGCATGTGGTTTGAATCCATCAGCTGCTTCGAGGGAGAAGGATGGACAATCTCCTCTGGTGGGATTAACTGTCTCTGAAAACCTGCTGGAGGATCAGTGATGAGTAGTTCTGACTCGACAGCACACAACAACAACAACAACTACAAGATGGAGTAGAGCAGCCGTATAGCATTTCCAAGGCTGTAAATCTCTCTGGGAGCAGACAGCCACATCTTTCTCCTGCAGGATGCCTGGTGGATTTGAAGTTCACCTACAGGTTAGCAGTCAATATTTAACCACTGCAGCCCTCGGGTGCCCTAGAACCTTAGTAACTATGCATTAAAAAATTCACACAACTTTTCAGAGTCTCAGTTTCCTTAACTAGTAGACAATTGCTCATTGTTACGAGGATTGAGTGACTTAATCTAGGCAAAGCTCTTTTAGCACTGTACCCAGTTTTAACAGGTGGAGATAAATTACATCTATAAGGTGCATGAAGGGTGATAGGAGGGGCATACATCTATGGCAAAAGTGAGGCATCTACGGAGACGAATCCAGACAAGTTCATGTGTATCCATCCCTGCTCACTCCTCCGGACGTCTCTGAGTATTACTATATGCCAGGCACTGTGTCAAGTGCAGGTGATGCAGAGCTGTCAACACTTCATCCCTGACCTGTTGGAATCTCAGCTTCCTGATGCTAACAAACACCTGTGCTGAGAATCCCAATATAAAGTGGCAGATGCAATGCTGGTGGGACGGTGACTTCCTGGTGAGGGGTCACGGAGGGTCGTGTTGAGCAGTAACGGGGTGGGAATAAGGTCTGTGGTTTGTACTCACCAGCAGCATTCTGAGAGAAAGATGTGGAAGTCCCGTAAGGGTCCTCGAAGGTCAACATGAGTTGGAATCCACTTGATGCCAGTGGATTTCATTTTTTGATTTGGCTTTTTTATTTCAATCTTTAGTATTTGTTGGACTTGCAACTTTTTAGGATTTTAAATTTTTTTAAATTAATTTTATTATTTTTTTTGTGTACTATCAAATCGGATCTGACTGGTACAGGAGGAGATTGCCCCTCCTTCACCAGCAGAGAGCATCTGGTGGATTCGAACCACATACCTCTGAGATTGCAGTACAGCTTCTTGTCACTAGGCCACCAGAGCTCCCTAATTCTTTAGGATTTTAAAAAATATCTCTTCACCTTTCATTTAACTCAGTCACTAAAATTTTGCACTCAAATTATGATATAAACTCAGTAATCTTATCCTTCTATTGTGATTCTTTGTGTCCTTGTCCATCTCCATTTCCAGAATCTCAGCTGAGGACAAGGAGTTGTCTCTGCTCTTTAGAACTTTTGGTCTCACACAACCTTGCACAAACAAGAAAACAAACAAAAACCCCTCAATTGCCACCAAGTTGATTTTAACTCCCAGACCCCAGAGGGCAGAGCAGACATGCCCATAGATAGAGTCCCAAGGTTGTAGAGATCATGAAAGCAGATTACTACACCTTTTTTTCCATGGAGAGTCTGACAAGTACAATCTACTGACCTTTTGATTAGCAGGTGAGTGCTTTAGTGATGGAGCCACCAGAGTGCCTGACCTTGAATAAAGTCAGTTTTAAATATTTGAGGAATAACCCTGGATGAAGATTCCATTGTCTTTCCAAGTTAAAAAAAATTCAGCAGAATTTCTGTTTAATATTGAACTCCATTTAATTAACACTTTAACTTCATATGTGTTGACATATCTGATTTTCACAACAGTGCTGTAAAGTGTTTTGACAGATGACAGAGAGCTCTAGTGTCTTTAGTAGTAAGAAGTTATGCTGCCAACTCAAAGGCAGATGGTTCAAATCCACCAGCTGCCCCACAGGAGAAGGATAGGCAATCTCCTCCTGTGTGATTTATCACCTATGAAAATCTGCTGAAGAGTCAGCTATGAGTCAGTTCTGACTTGACGGCACACAACAACAACAACAACATATGGCAGATGAGAAGACGGATGCTCACAGATGTGAAGTTACTTAACTAAGTAGGCTGGGAAGATTAGAATCTAAATGCGAGAAGAGCACAGCATTCTAACCTTAGCTTTCCCATCTTTGGGGGGCTCTGGAGTTGTGGGCTTGAGTTCTGGCTCCAGCACTGGGGATGAATCAGGGATGTCAGCCAGGCTGGACTGCTGAGCCTGGGCCGCGTCAGGCACCACTGTGGGCGGCGGCTCAACATCCACATAAATGTGATCTGTTGGGGCCTCTTGGGAATCGCTGAGAGGCCTCGGGGGTTCCGCGGCTGTCGATGAATCAGAAGGAGCTGAAATGATACCACATCAGGTCAGGCAATTGGGACTGAAGTGGAAGGTCCCATACAAGAAGTCAGGCAGATCTGGGTAAAAAACCAGGAAATTCCGAACAACTCTTAAGCTTGCCGTGCTTATTTATAAAATAACCATGACAATACTGAGTTTATTGGAAAACTAAAAGAGATCACAGAGAGGCACATAAAAACTAGTCAACACAGTTACACTTCTCCAAAATAATTTTAATCAAACATTGTTGATGTTATCAATTGAACTAGGTCTCTCCCAAAATAAATGTTAACTTGGTTTGTGCTGTGATTCTCAACATAATCAAATATTCCCCATTTTCAGTCTGCTGTAATTATTCTGTGTATTCTGTATTATAAACCCTAACCTCAATGATGTCTATGAGGCAAGGATTAGGTGGCATCTTGAGCCAATCTCTTCTGAGATAAAAGAGATGAAACAAGTGAATAAAGCTCAGAAGGACCCAATACCAACAAGAAAGAAGAGCCAGGAGCAGAGTGCATTCTGTGGTCCCAGGATCCCTGCGCGGAGAGCCTTCTGGGTCCAGGGAGGATTGTTGTTAAGGCCCGTGGAGATGTCCAAAGGACCCTGCACCCACAGATATTGTCAGGAGAAAAGGATGGTCTCTTCAAGCCAATTGAGAGAGAAAACCTTTTCTTAGAGCTGACACCCCAAATTTGGATTCCTATTTCCTTAACTGTTGTTGTTGTTAAGTGCTGTGGAGTCGTAGGTGACTCATAGCAACCCTATGAACGAAAGAAGTTATGCTACCAACTCAAAGGCAGATGGTTCAAATCCACCAGCTGCTCCACAGGAGGATAGGCAATCTCCTCTTGTGTGATTTATCACCTATGAAAACCTGCTGGAGAATCTGCTATGGGTCCGTTCCGACTTGACAGCACACAACAGCAACAACATATGGCAGATGAGAAGACTGATGAACACAGATGTGAAGTTACTTAACTAAGTGAGGTGGGAAGATTAGAATCCAGACTAGCCAGTGAAAACGCTAATGAGTCTTGTAAATGTGAGAAGAGCACAGCATTCTAACCTTGGCTTTCCCATCTTTGGGGGGCTCTGGAGTTGTGGGCTTGAGCTCTCGCTCCAGCTTGGACCACTATGTGCCACAGCTGTGTACACTGCAGCATGCAGATGAGTGTAAATTGGAACAGCCACCAGGAACATCCCTGGCAATACTGAATGTGCAATACCAAATGCACATTCTAGGTGACTCAGTGGTCTTGCCTCTGGGTATAAATCACAGAGAAACTCCCCCCTGCCTGTTCCCTTAGGGAACACATTGTTGTTATTGTTGTTATGTGCCATTGAGTCGCTTGTGACTCATAGCGACCCTATGTACAAGAGCCCTAAACCCTGCTCTATCCTGTGCCAATCTCACTGTCTCCAACACAACTATCCCAATTACCCAAGTCACTGAATCAATCCCTCTCATCGAGGGTCTTCCTCTCCTGCACAGTCCCTCTGCCCTCCCAAACATGATATCCCTCTCCAAGGACCAGTCCCTCCTTGCAAGATGCCCAAAATATGTCAGACAAAGCTTCAGAATCTTTGCCTCCAAGGAGTAGCCCAGTTTCATCCTCTCCAGGACGAAGCTGTTTGTTCTCCTAGCAGTCCATGGTATATCCAACACTCTTCCACAGTGTTGTCTGTGAAGTGGGGAATTAGAGGTATCCCAGGGCCCAGTATTAGGGAAGGGGGGTTAATTACGTTTACGTGCAGCAGGCAGTGGTAAGCAGCTAACATACACTCAGCAGTATGGGGAGAGAGCTCTTACGGCACAAATGCGGGGGGAAAAAAAGAGTAAGAAATTGATTATAGCCACACATAATCTTTATAAATATAAACACATACACACACTATAAGGATTGATGGTGTTTGGGGGCCACTATAGGAAGGGGACTAAGACTGGAGAAAGGGAAAAAGCATGGAAGGAAGTGAATAAAATAAGATTCCTTGAGTGGAATAATACTGATTACATGGCAGAAATAAAAAGTGCAATTAACTGTACACCTCAGATCCAAAGTGAGTCTAGAGACTAAGGTCCTTAGACACCTTTCAAGGCCCAGAATAAAGCCATCCTTGGGGATCAACTCTCAGCCAAACAACAGACAGGCCTTTAACACAAATTACAACACCCTTGAGAAACATGCTCAATCACATAACCCCCAAAGACAGCATTTGCCCCAAAACAAAGTTCAGAGTCAGGAAGGGGCAGAAAAGAAAGATGAATGGAAACAGGGAAGCCAGAGAATTTAGAAGAGTGATGGTACATTGAGGGGATTGCAACCAGTGTCCCATCGCAATGATATACCATCCCGAGGTGTATAATTGTTGTGTAGAAAACCAATTTGCTCTGTAAACTTTGACCTAAACCCCAATAAAAACAAGCACATACAAAGTGAACTCAAATAAAATAACATCTATCACAGACCAATATAGTTTGTCAGGGAGTGGAGGCAAAGGAGAGCTTAAGCCACGTTCAGAGGCATCTTCTTAGAGAAGTTGATCTTGATGTAAGTCTCAAGGTAAGGATTTGGCAGCTAATGAAGGAAGAAGGGACGGCACAGGGGCACATACTGCAGAGAGATCACTGTCTAGGTTGGGGCTTCTTTTCCAGGTCCCCTGACGCTGTGTGCGCACCACAGCTTCATAGTCTGTAACCAGATCTAGGAGCCTCTTACCTTGTCCAGCCTGGGCTCCATCAACCTGGGAGATGACGGTAGGGAGCTCCCTCGATTTACATAAAAACTGCTTCAAACAGTTGATGGTATAGGTGCCCACCAGGGTGCTCCTCCCGAAGGCCCTCCAGTCCACCACGCAGATGCTCAGGGGCGGGTGCAGGAGCTCATTCTCGGGCAGTTCCTGCAGGGAGAGGACCACTCTCAGCAGTGATGGGGGAGGAAAGTGTGGACCACCCATCCGTGGGCACCCATCCTCCCTGGGCCCCTACTTGCCACCCAGGCCTGCAGCTCATATCTACTGTCTTCCACACTCAGGGAGTAATTACTTACAGTGTAAAAATCCCTAGGTGGCACAGATGGTTCAGTGCTCAACGACTAGCCAGCTTGGCAGTCAGGCACCCACCGAGGTACCCGGAAGACAGTTCCAGTGGTCAGTTTTCAAAAGGTGACCATCTCGAATGCCCTACAGAGTAATTCTACTCTGCACACAGGGGCTCTCCATGGGTAGGAATCAACTTTACAACAACCAGCAACAGCAACGTCAGGGATCCCTTACTAACAGTTCATCCCAGGTTTAAATTTCAAAATCCAAACACTCCCATATTCTCTACTGGCTATGGTTTTCAATCTTCTTAACTCTTCATTATTTACTAGTAGGCAATGAAAGTTGAACCAGAGTCAACACATAAAGCAGTGAACAGTAAGCCATTCATAGTGAAGCCACGGGCTGGAGGGTCCCTGAGGTCCGACAAAGCCTGGGGCGAAGGCTGCAAGCGCGATGCATGTGCTTCCCTTCTAGTGCTTGTTTAGAATTGTGTGCCCCCTGGAGCTCACTGGATTGGGCAAAGCAAACTTTTCCCTTCAGAGTTTGTTTCAAATAAGGGCACAAAAAGTAATGTAAGGGAATGTGAAAATAAGGAAAAAGTGCTGGTTTCAAAAACCATCACTTTAGAAGCAAAGATTTACCTATACATGCCGTTTACTTAATAAACAAGGGAAGCATGAGTTTACTTGTGCTTACTTGCTACTCTGGAGCAAATAATTTTGTGTTGATGGTAAAATATTCACTACAGATTAGTAAGTAAGCGCAATGAAGCCTCTGCTTACCTTGCTAATTGACTGCTTCATCCCTGCTGGGGACTGTCAATTTGCAAAGTGGCTTTGATTCTGTAGGAAGGTGCTGTGGGATTGGAAGCCGGACAGATGCCAGCAAGACCTAGAAGCAGAATCTCTGACGTGGTGACAAATTCGATCTCGTTCATTACAGATTAAAAGTAAGCACAAATTATCTTAGGCCTACTTTGCTTATTGGGTAATCCAGCACTGTATGTTCAGTACAAATATTTTTATAAAGTCTGGTTGGCATATCTTCTAAGCTGGTGGTTCTACATGTTAGCTATGTCTAAGACTCATCTGGAGGATGCATTAAACCAGAGATCCCTGGCCTCACACCCAACAGTCCTTAATTCAATAGCACTGGCATGTGTATGTAGTTGACTGGATTCCAACGCAGAATGATCATAAAGGACAGAGTAGAACTGCCCTATAGGGTTTCTTGGGCTGTAATCTTTATTGATGGGAGCTCTGGTGACCTAGTGTTAAGAAGTTATGCTGCACCCTCAAAGGCATATGGTTCAAATCCACCCCATGGGAAAAGATAAGCAATCAGTTTACTATCAATTTACCGTTTGTGAAAACCTGCTGGAGGGTGTGAAACACAATGTACATAAATGAAACACAATGTATAGAATTCTGTTTGCAAACCAATATAAAATAAAAATACATTAACAACTGCTGGTGGGTCAGCTATGAGTTGGTTTCTACTGAAAGGCATGTGACAGCTACAATTTTTCTTGGAGCAGACCACCAGGTCGGTCATTATCCCTTCCTCAACGTTGGCTTTTCACTGAACGTGGCAGCTCTTTCTTGCAGACATTAGAAACCTTAGCATGTTTTCCAAAGGAAAGCCATGTCGCTGAAGGGGTGGCCTCTTCTAGGGAAGGGGAAGGTCAAGAGCAGGTGGGAGAGGGAGAGAAGGCAGCTCATACCACTTCGAAGGCATCTGCCTGGACGCTGAAGTTGGGGTTGTTCTTGTAGCTCTGGATCACGCAGGACTTGACTCCTCGTCCCCCACACTCGATGAGGACCTGTGGCCGATCGACTGAGAGGAGCTGCACCTTCTTCATCTCTCGGACTCCCCAGAAGAGAACCTGCAGAGAGGGCCAGCAGATGGTCAGTGGCCCAAAGAGAGCCAGCTCTGTGGCCTGGCCTTGGGGTCAACTCAGATGTCCTTTTCAGAGTGAGATATTCTCTAAGAGACACGCTGCTCCCTGGTCACTAGCCTCAGCGTACCGTTTACCTCTAGGTCTCTTTCTCACCCCTCTAAGCTCCACACACAATGCCCACTGCCCTTGCATCCTAAAGAACAGCTCGATTCTTCCCTGCCCCGTACCTCCACTCGGTATTTACTCAGCACAGGCCGGATGTTGGCAGGAACCGGGTAGATCTGGGTGACGTCTGGTGGATCGACGGGAGGGAGCCCCTGTAGCCCCGACTGGGGCACCTGTTGCCCAAAACAAGGACCAGTTAGACAGCAGGTGAGAGGAAGCGAGGAAGACTAGAAGACAGGCCCACAATTGTCTTCTTGGTAAGATGCTCACTGTTTTGTTAACAGAAGTAGCATTTCCAAGAGGACACTCAACAAGGACCATGCAGCTTGCCACATTTATTATTTGTTAGCAGATAAATGCATTAACGTGCAAGGATAATCAGCATATATTGAACACTTATGCACCAGAGGTTAATACGCCATTCCTTTCAGTGAGCAGCCACACAGGGAGAAGAGAAAAAGACACATGGGTAAAACCTCAGAAAGGGATAAGACTGCATGTTCTCCAGCAGTGGACCGGAGAAGTAGCTCTGGTTAATACTGGACTTGTGCGTTCTAATTATTCCCCCACTTCCAGCTTGTCAAAGGCCCTGGAAAAGCCACACTCCAAAAGAGATTCCGATCTAACCAAGTCCCCTGATTATGGGAGAGACTGCAACGTTCAGTGACTCAGAACATAAAGGTTTTGAAAGGCGGAGCTCTGAGACCAAACGGAAGTCACTTCCTGTGCATCGTGGACTCATGAGACTTCAGGAGAACAAGCAAGGTGTTTTACTGAAATTTCACACAAAGGCCTTCATTCTACCAAGGATTGGACCATTCTCCCCAACTCCCTCAGCCCTCACTGCCTACACGACTTAGGTCCAGACATCTTTGAAGAAGCCGTCTCAGATTTGACCCTGGCTGCTGTGGCCTTTCCCCTCCCCTAACCTCCATGAAGGGACCCCTGGTGGTGTAGACTGTAGAGTCGCTGGGCTAACCCAAAGGCCGCACCTCTCTGGAGAGTCTAATTCACCAGCATCTCCGTGGGAGAAAGATGGGCACTCTTCTCAAGGGATTCACAGCCTCAGAAACTCAATGGAGAGTCGGCTATGAGCTGGTTCTGACTTGATGGCAGTGAGTGCATGTGAGTAACTTCCATGAGGGAACGGTGCTGATGTAATGTGCTGCATGTTGGGCTGCTGTCCAAACTTTCTACAGTTTTTATCTCTGTGGAAGAAAGATAAGATCGTCTCCTCCCATGAAAATGTACAGCCTAGGGAGCCCAACAGAAGGTCCACACAAGTCTGCCAGAAGGCAGTGAGTCTGGTTGGTGTGAGGTCCAACGAGGGAAGTGTGTACTCTGTAGTGGCCTAGTATAGAGACCAGTGGCTGTGTCAGGAAGTCACTGCATGACTCTATACAGAAACCAACCTTTGAGTGTGGGTTTCAGACAGGACAACAGAACCCAAACACTAAACGTTGGAGCCGTGACCCTCAGTTACTCAGTTGAACTGCTCCATAGGATTGTCTTGGCTGCAGCCTTTACATGAGAAGATCACCAGACCTTTCTTCCCTGGACCTGCTGGGTGGGTGCAAACCACTGGCCTTTCAGTTAGACGTTGAATACAAACCACTTACACCTCGCAGGGGTCTTCATATTGAACCCAATAACCCCAGAGTGCCTCAGAAGTGTGCAGTTCTATTAACCATTGCCTTGAAGAACACATTCTCCTTATGGAGAGTACGGACTGTTTGAACAATTTAGATTTGGAGACTAAATAATTAGAGACTTGGCTGAAAGGAAGGTTTTATTTACTTCCTTTCCATTCTCGAAGCTCCTCAAGAGATGCACCTTATAATAGTGGGATCTTGACAAAGGTTTATCGACTGGCTGGCACATTAACTCCACATGCTAGAAAAAGAGGCCAATCGCTCCTCAAAGCCTGCAAAACTGCAGACACACACCCCTCCTCTCTCAGGTGTGGTCTAGTTGGCAGTGGCAAATGTGATTAAGCTAATTAGCAGAAAGCTCATTAAAGGGAGAAGACACTGCAAATGCCAAGTAGGCTTGAGATAGTGAGGAGACCAGACACAGGGGCTGGGATGTGAGGAGGATACACACTCCCCCACACACTCAACCCCAGCCACGCTGGAATCCTCATGTAGCATGAAAGAAAAACCTGGCTACTTGTTCCTGTGAAGATTGCAGTCAAGAAAACCCCACTGAGGCAGCTCTAGCCATGTCAGAATTGACTGGGTAGAAACTCATTAATGTTCCTAGGAACAGACTGGGGAATGTTCATGGTAGTAACTCATGGGAAACCGCTGATTTTTTAGGAGGAGAAGAGTATGGTCTAATTAGTGTTCTGGAAGATCACGCTCACTGGAGTGTGAAGGGCTTACTGAACAGTGAAAGAATAGGAGGTCAGTGGGTCAGTAAAGAGGCCAGTGTAACCTTCAGATGATCATCAGAGAGACCTGAGGCATGGGGAAGGTGGAAGCGTTTAAGGAACAATCAGGAGGACTGGGCTGGCGATGAGTACAGTTGTAGTGTGAATATTGAAGAGTGAGGAGAGTTTTGAAGCTGTGTGGGGTTATGAGCAAGGATTGAGAGGCGCTAGATTGAAAGGCGCTAGCGTGGGTGGTGGTGATTATTAGATTATGCTATAGAGTCACCTGGGCCTCAGAGGAATGCTACGAATGAGGACTCAGAACCTGGCCGTAACCTGCAGCGCGCTCGAGAGCTCAGCCACACTCAGACCCACTGTTGCAGTCACTGCGTCAGTACATCTCCTTGTGGGTCTTCCTCTCTTTCACTGAACCTTATTCCTTCTCAGCATGATGTCTCTTATCAAGGACAATACTGTCCAAAGTTTGAGCGACAAAGTTTCAGAATCCTTGCCTCTAAAGAACACCCTGGTTATACACTTCCTCTGACAGACTTGCTTGTCCTTTTTGGCAGTCTCTGGTATGTTCAATGCTCTTCACCAAAACGATCGTTCAAAGACATCAGTTCTTCAGTCTTCCCTGTTCATAGTCCAACTTCTAGATGCTCAGTTAGGCTGAGGCATAGAAGAATGGAGGTCCCAGGTCCTCCTCCTGAGGCGGAGGAGCGCGTCCGTGATGGAGAGGCTGCAGGAAGCCTTCCACAGGGGAAAACCAAAAGCAGCTGGTAACAAATGAAGGCATTTTCCAATCCTGTCTTCTCAGCATGTGTGGGATCCACATGCTGGAGCTGTCATACTGCTGATCAAATTGCCTTTGGAGCATGTAATCCAATGAGAAGCCCTGATGAAACGAATGGATTATGTCTCTGAGACTATTTGCCTCTGATGATGCTTCCTCTATTAAGTCAGCTGCCAGGGAGCAGCAAGGTCCTGTACGGGAACCTCAGCCTCCCAGACAGGAAGGTTGGACGTGGGACCCTGGGACTAAGAGCTGAATTCTCAGGGAGCTGGTGACAACCAGCCCTTCCGGCCACTCAGTGTCAGGGGAAGGGATGGAGGCACTTTCAACTTTTTAAGCTGCCATCTGGCTGGTCCTGGTTCCTGACTGCCCCAGGTACAAGAGAATGAACACATTCCCAGGCCTGTGCATGCTATGATCAGCGACTGGAGCCCGTCAGTCACCGTTTTCATTGGCCTTACTTCCTAGTCCATCTTACTCTGGAAACTTCTCTGAAACTTAGCGATATACAAGTCTCCTTGAGGGATTTTGTGTGGTGGCACTACATGACGTTCAGAACTAGGAGGAGAAGCCATGGCATGTTGTTGTTGTTACTGTTAGGTGCCATTGAATCAAGTATGACTCATAGCAACGCTATGAACAACAGAGCTGGAATCCGTCCTGTCCGGTGCCATCCTCATCATCGCCAACACGTGTGAGCCCACTGCTGCAGTCACTGGTCAGTCCATCTCAATTGAAGGCTTCCCTCTCTTTCGCTGACCCTCTAGTTTTCCAAGCATGATGTCCCTTCCCAAGGAATAGCCTCTTGTAGCAACATGATCAGAGTATATGAGGCAAAGTCAACCTTGCCTCCAAGGAGCAGTCTGGCTGCACTTTTTCCAGTGCCATGTAAAACTCTACCTCAAGATGACTGATAGTCATTCTTTTATAGCTTGGAATCATTGGGAGTCCCGCCTAAGGAAAGGCTAGACTGGATGATAGTCAAGGTCCCTTCCAGCCCAGAAAGTACCTGTTTCTAGGAGACACACAATCATCAGGGACTGGTACCGGGTATCTTAGTGCATAAAGTATTGGGCTATTAATGGCAAGGTTGACATTCCAATCTACCAGTAATTTCTTCCCATAAAGATTTGCAATTTCATAAACCCAACAGTGGGTTACGATGAGTCAGAACTGACCCTACAGCAGTGCATGCTAATAGTCTAGATCCTCATTTCTGGAAGATTCCACATTTGTATATTCATCTATTCATTAAACTTACTTGCAACCCTAAGGTCAATATGCAGACATTTTTCTGGAAAGGCTACAATGCAAATAATAATTAAGGATGATAAAAGGAAAAGAGGGAGAGGCTGAATTCTCCTAGACTAAAAAAAAAAAAGAGAAGAAACTTCTCTTTTCTTGGCATATTTACTTTAGAAACTTGTCACTGTTTTTTCTCTGCCTCTTGGAAAAACACCTACATCCTTGAAAAAGTTCAAGAGCCTCTTATCTATTTGACAACCCAGGAAGGCTTCCTTCAGGCCTTGGGAGCCACTTCCTCAGAATGTAATCAGTCAGGGAAGAGAGCACCCCTGTGTTCCAGCTTCCTTGGAGCAAAGGAACCTAACCTGTTGGAATCTGGCTCCAGGTTGCAAACCTCCCTCCCTCCTTCCCTTAATAAAGAGATAAGAAATTAACATTTTCCCCCTCCCCTTTGGATGATGGCAATAGACAAACACAGATGGTTCTCCCAATTACCAGGTGAGTTTAGAATGAACTACAGTATGGATGACGGATGAGGAATGGTGCCCTTAAGTCTGACTCCTTAAGGACCAGTTAACCTTGGTGTTGACAGGCTGTGTGTAGGGGTTGCGGATGCATTTCTTCTCTATCTTTACAGTCTCACTTGCTGACTGCTTGTAATGCTTATCACATCCTGTTTAACACTTCCTCAATGATAAAATTATTTTCTTTCTCCTCTGCTTTTGTGGAGAGTTTTTTTGGACTTGGCAGGAGATTTTGTATTTAATCGTGCTTCTGCAATGAGAAGACTGGTGAAATGTTTGAGTGGTCGATGCACATGGTCCCAGCCAAGGTCGAATGAGGCAACACTCAGTCTTCATGCCTCAGTTTTCAGACTATCAACAAGTACTCTTTTCATGGTCTAATTAGTGTCACATTTTTTTCTGCATTTCTGTGCTTTTTGTTGGCAGTTTTGTGTTTTTCCAATGCCATCCCCCCCCCTCCCCAAACATAGTGCTGAAATACTATTCTCTCTAGCAAGAAGGTTATGATGTGCCTTAAGGAAGAAACCTGGGAGGTTAGATAAGCTTCCTTCCAACCAGAGTTACTGTGCTGTTGACCATGAGTTCAAAGCTGACTAATCAACAGCATATATTAAATAAGGTGCCCTTAAGACAGAAACACACGTAAAACAAAGTTGTACATCGGCCAGAGGAAGCTGATGTGATATTTATTTCTCACAAAGTGGTGGGCCAGGGTTCACTATTTCCGTTTTATAGCAGTTTCATTGGAATTACTGCCACCATTAATAAGAATGGACTGAGAGCCCAGCACATGAGTTCCAACACCAGCACCTTCTGATTTCTCTACCACTTCTCTCTGGCAGACAGATAGGGCCATATCTGGGCATTCCTTTCCCAAGTCCTCTACATGTGGCCTACTGGGTAAGGCGTAGCACTGCCAATCCAAAGGCAGATGTTTCAAATCTACCAGTTGCTCTTTGGAAGGAAGATGGGTAATCTTGTCTGTGCAGTTTATAGTCTCTGGGAATCTGCTGGAGGGTCAATTCTGAGTTGCATCTGACTCAATGGCACAGAACAACAATTCCATGTTCCAGAATAGATAGACTTGAACGTCTTTCAAACATTCTGTCCCCTGATTCTGAAAACACTTTCTCAGCATCGGTGGCTTTGTCTTTGGGAAACTACATGATACAGTGGAAAGAGTTACCACTACTGCTGCCATCAAGGTGATTCTGGCTCCCAGTGACCCCATGTGTGTCACGGGAGAACTGTCCTCTGTCAGGTTTTCATTGGCTAATTTTTCAGAAGTAGGATTCCAGGTCTTTCTTCCAAGGTGTTTCTGGGTGGAGCTGACCCTCCAACCTTTCATTCAGCAGTTGGGTGTTTTAACCATTCACTGCTCCGAGACTCTGGGGAAGGCGTAACCGCTGCCACTGAGTCCATTCCAGCCTCTGAGGACCCTCCAGCCAGTCTCTGAGGCTGTAAATCCTCACAGGAGGAGACTGCTTCACTTTCCTCTCATTGAATGACTAGTGGATCCGAACCAATGACCTTTTGGTCTGCAGCACAACATAATTCACTATGCCACAAGAGTTTTAAAGACCTAAACCATCTCCTGACTCATGCAGCATGCTATCAATTCTGCTAATCCTAATTTTATTCTCTGTAAATATCTATTTCAATAGGTCGGTGGAAGAGCCACTCTGATGGTGAGTATCAGAGGCAGTTGATGTGGCTCTAGGCATACGGCACGTGCCCCCAGGGCTTGTTCCCTGCCCCTTTCATCTCCTCTAGTCTGTAAGGAGCTCACGTATTTTCATCTGTGGCTCCACAGGCTTTGTTGGCCAAATCCACAGTATTTCCCCCC